CGGTGTGGTAGCCGTCTTTGAGGCTCTGGGCCGACGCACGCGTGGCGCGTGCCGCCTCACTCTTGAGCGAGTGGAGGCGGGTCACGGCGGGCGCCTCCGACTCGCCGGCGGCGGGCAAAGAGGAGCGCGCGCCGTGGGCTGCGAAGCACGCGGGGCTGTGGTTGAGCAACCGGGGGGGGCAGGTGGGGGGGGGGCAGGGAGGGGGGAGGGCGGGGAGAGAGTTGGCGGGAAAGCACCCGCGATCGGCGCGAGGGCGAGCAAGACGGGGACGACGATGCACTGGAGGAGGACACGGACCACCCTCGCTGCAAGCGCGCTCAGTGTGGAGACGGCCGCGGGGGCCCCGCCCGGAGCGAGCACAGACGGGAACGAGCGTGCGGAGGCACTCATCACCGGCGGCTGGTTGGAGCGCGGGGCCTGTGTGGGGGCGGGAAGAGAGGGGAGGAGGGGGAGAAAAAAAGGGTGGGGGGAGGGTGGGGGCGGGAAGCGAGGTGCGGCGGGCGATGATGGCTGCTCCACACACCTCGTTGGGCGAGAGCAAGGGCATGAGCGGCGCCGTTGATTGCACGGCGGGTGCGGCGCCGCTGTGGAGGGCAGGCGCCGGCGAGACGGGTGCGGCGCCGCTGTGGAGGGCAGGCGCCGGCGAGACGAGCGCAACGGCAAGGCCGGTGCAGATCAGGAGCGACATGGCTCTCACAACGATGAGGGAGGTGATGGGCCCCGTCCACAGCGATATGGGGCCCGCCAACAAGACCGCGGCCACGTTTTTCTTCTTTTCAGTTTTCCGCTGCGGAGTAAGGAAACAACGGTATGGGAGGTGGAGTGCTCTCTACTGCAGCGGCGCCCATGTCGGTGCGAAGGCGCCCGGCGGCCGCGCGCTTGGTGCCCACGTCGACCGGCTGCTCTCACGGCGCCGAGGCGTACCGCTTCGGTCATGTCTCGCGCGCTGCGAGGTTCCTTTTGCATGTGAGCGCTGGCTAGAGACGCCAGGAAGCTCGCCTTCCTTGCCTGCGGCCGCGGGCGTGCGGGCGGGCCCGCCAGGCTCGGCGAAGCTCGGAGCGGGTCTTCGAGCTCGCTGCCGGCGACGAGCCAGCATGGCTCGTCGCTCGACGGCAGCCTGCCCGGTATCCTCTCGGCATTCTGTACAGCCTCGCCAAGCTCTCTGGGAAGGTCCGCAGGGCCAGGGCGGGCCGTATCGGGAGCGATGGCGCGCTCAGAGTACTCGCATAATGTGGGTAAACGAAAAAAGTAGCGATAAATTCGTCTACGTACGGCTTAGTGTGTGGTTGGGGTGGCCTCAGGCATCCCCAAGGGAGCCTCTGCGGTGCCACATAAGCAGCTGAGTGATTGTCGAGACTTTAAAGGATTCGTTTGAAGAAACGCAAACAAGACAAACGGTACTATGGTCACCAGTAAACGAAAATTCGACTTTGAGGGATCATATCTCAAAAGGCTGGGTGAGAGCATAGCATTATTGTTGCATATTATGCCACATAAGGTCAAACTTGACCCCAGAAGCATCAAGAACCCGATGCTCCGGCTCGACTGTGCCGGCACACTGCCTCCTCGCGCACGCTGCTCGCAGGCCGTTGCGGCCCGTGGTGCACCAGAGAGAGAGGTCGACGCGTTGCCCCCGCCGGCGACTCCGCGCGGCTCAGGCCAGCCAGAAGGTGTGTGGTGACGGCACCGTGGCAGGAGTGCGGAGAAGAGCTCGCCGAACGCGAGCAGCAGATGGCCAAAGTGTGCCAGCGCGAGAGCCTCGCGAGCGGGCGCAGAAGGAGCTCGCCGTGACACGATGCCGGGCGGTGGTGGTGCTCTGGCGACTGTGCACAGTGGGCAAAGTCAGGCTGCAACAGGGCAGCACGTTGGTAGTGCCCTGCTGCAGCCTGGCCTGACATGCACAGGGCGAACAGAGGCGGTACTATCGTCCGGCGCTCGTCACCGAATCTGGGCGAACTTCGACCGCCGCCACAGCTCACCACGAGCACGCAGCGACAAAATGTTGACTGTATGGAAGTTGAGGCTGGTCGAGAGGAAGAGGCTGCCGTGCGAGCCGGCAGCAGGCTGGCTCGTCGTGGACTGCCGCGGCGACTTTTTTCGGCTTTTTCTCTGATAGTACCGAATACGGTACTTTCGTTTACCCACACTCTGCGAGTACCATGCCTACGAGCTCTCCGATCGGGTCGCCAGCAGCGGGCTTGCGCGGCGCGCCGCTCGACGGCAGGCTGGTCACCACCCTTTCAACAGTGTCTTCTGCCTCGCTTCTCTCGCTGCAACCGCCTCCGGGGGCCGGCGCCGGCCGCCTCGCTTCGCCAGCGCTGCTACGCCTACGACACGCGCGTCGGCTCGCCGCCGCGTCGCCTGCGGCGGGCCCGCGTGGCGCGCCGCTCGTCGGGAGCGTGGTCAGCAGGCTGTGCAGCGCAGCCTGACTCGCTCAGAGCGCCGCTGATGCGGCGCGGAGCCGCGGTCGGCGCTGCTGCCGCGCACGCTGGATGGGTTCGTCGTTTGCAAGCCTCACACGTTACCTCCGTTGCAAGCGTCGTTGCAAGGGAAATATTTTTTGCTGCTCTAGCCTCACACGTTACCCGCTGTCGCCTGTGCTAGGACAACAAGGCCGTGCTAAGACAACAAGGCTACACGATACACGGCGTCTCCACACTAGGCGACTCACACATAAGTTGTACCAGGTGGCAGGTGGCGGGAAATCAGGGCCGCACTACTACGCCGTCTCTCGTTTGTTGTGTGTTAGACCGTAGACGACGCCTCCATTTGCTTCCACTTGCCCGCGGCTCGTGACGAAGAAGTGCAAGTCCAGATGGGGTACATTTTTTTGAACCCCCCCTTCTCTGTATCTTCCCGGCCCGCTTCAATTTCTTGATCAATTCGAAGTTCGTGTTTGCGGCCGCGCGAATGGAATGGACAACCTCCGCTTGCCTGCTGCTGCCCGCCCAATACACGCCAGCGACGAAGCGGTCGCAGCCACCCTGCACCGCATGCAGCGACGCGCCTCTGTCTGGAGCGAGTGCCTCCCTCGATTGCCAGCCAACAGCACGCATTGTCACCGCCGGGGTCGGCACCTGCTCCACAATTCGCATGGCGCTGTCCCACGACTGGCCAAGGACCGTCCCCCTCATCCCGAGAGCCCGCTCTACGACGAGGTTCTCTTCTGCCCGCGCCGCCGTGTGGCTTTCATCCACATCTTCAAGTCTGCGGGCACGACGATTGTCCACGCCCTGAAATCCATGTGCAGGAATTGGGTGCTGGTGTGCCCGTGGCACTTGTATTGCCGTCAAACCCTGGACGCTGCCCACGGCACGGTTGGCGAGTATGCCTACTTCACCTTTGTCCGCGACCCAGTTGCACGCTTCACCAGCGGCGTCCTTGAAGCGGCGCTGCGGAAGAACCTCAAAGTGATTCAAGCCGGCGTGCCGGCAGGGGCTGCTGCAAACACGGCAGAAAACGCAGATGCAATCGCCCGGCGGATCCTCACCGCGTGCGTCGCCAGTCCGCGCTTGTGCGATGCACATCTCGAGCCCCAGCTCTCCTTCCTCGCGACTCTTCCCTTTCCCAGAGGGCGCCCCAAGCCCGTGAAGCTCGACTATCTCGGCTCAGTTGAGCACATTGAGATTGAGCTGCCGGCCATTGTCCAACGCTTCTTTGGCACAGCAGCGGCCGCCAATGTCTCGAGCATGCTGCAGACTTCACACAGAGTGCGCTCTGAGACAAAACAAGAGCAAGTTCGTCGACTGCTTGGCCGTCTTTCTGGTGTCCGCTACAATCAGAATGTGTCGCAGATCACATCGTTTGTGTTCACGCCTGATGATCTGTTGCCGCCTACGATTGCCATGATCCGGCGCGCGTACGGATCGGACGTAGAGTGTTTGCAACTTAATCGATAGTGCGCACGGAGTGAAAGAGCATCTTTTTCCCGCCTGAACACGCTATGTTCAGTCTTCAGCGTTTGTCTCTTGTCTGTCGCTTTGTGTTTGTGTCTTGAGGTTGTCAGCAAAGAAGATTCTATTTATTGCCACACTCTACCAATTAACGGGGCTAAGCCCATCCGACCCCCCGGGACCCACTTACTGAGCACACTGTAGTAGTTATGGCTGGCGACCCCGCGGCCCGCCGGATGAGGCTGCCGCACCACGCAGTTCTAAGGACTAAGCCATTCTAGCACTTCTAAGCCGGCCGACCACCGCCCGAGCCACCGTGCCCCCAGCCGACGTGCTCCCACCACCAATCCTCCGTCGCGCCGTCCCGTATCCATCGCCAGGCCAGCTGTGCCGACGCGGACCAGGTCGACGACTCGGCCGCAGCGCCGTCGCCCACAAAGGAGGTGCCGCCCTGCAATCCGTCCGCACCGTCGAGGGAGCGGCTCGTGTCGAACCCCTCCGCGGCAGCGACCAAGGCGTCCGGGCGCGAGTTCGCGTCGGCCCATTTGAGGTACGCGCTGAAGTACGGCTCGATGGGCTGCCTCTCATTGTCCACGATCTGGTCCGAGCAGAGCAGGCGCGGGTGTGAGCAGAGGAGGATCCAGGTCCAGGGGCAGGGTGGGGCCAACTCGATTAAATCTCAGCCGCTCGTGGGCTGTCTGCGGACAGATCACCAACACATCTCCAGGTCACAGCTTCAAGCGACCTCGTACGCATAGTACACGAAATCGCCCAGCGCCTTTGACAGGCCGGGGATGAGCTGCAGGACCCGGCTATCGCGGCGCCACTTTGCGCACCGCACGACCTCAGCGGTTGAGGAGTTGGCCCTTGGCGGGCATGCGCCAGCGGCAGGGTGTTGGAGGGTCATCGTGAAGCTGACGGCCGCAGTGGGCACACGGAACGTGAGGCCAAACGGCAGCTTGAGGTGCGGGTAGATCTGGCAGGACTCGAAGTCGTCGCTAAACACAAAATCGTAGTGGGAGAAGGTCGACTCGGCCTCGCGAAAAAAGCTCATACCCTCCCTGATCGGACAAGGCCGGTTGGTGAGGAGGCGCCGTTCAGATGGCGGCGACGAGGGTGCGGGATTGGCCTGGTGTTCTGCCACTGCCACGCTCTTCCAAGGATGCTCACACTCACGGTGCGCGTCGCCGGGTCGAACCGATGATAGTCGGTGTCGCCCATCGAGATGGCCAAGTCCGGCGCGCTGACGCCGGCTGGTATGCTCGACTCTCCAAAAGCGCCCGTTTGGTCGAGCCAGAGCATCCCTTGCAGTGCGGCAGGGTAGTCAGCCGGCGCCACTGGGAGGACATTCTGCACGTCGTTGTTCCTCAAGAAGGACGGCATGTGCGCGGCGGCAGAGGTCGAGGTTAGCGCGGCGGCGAGTAGCATACGCACAACGTACACGGCTTCCAGGAGGTGGGAGCTCGAGGCTAGGAGGCCCTTGAGTCGACTTGAGGACGGGAGCTCGAGGCTAGGAGTAAGGTCTACGCCCTTACTAGGAGGCCCTTGAGTCGACTTGAGGACTAGGTTTTCGGACCCTTGACTGCAGCTGGAAAAAAATAAAGCTTCGGCTTCGATGTTATGAAAACAAACGCAAGGCGGACAAATTTTTTTGTCCATTCCGTTTCAAAAAGAAAGCAGAAAGATGAGGACGCGGCACCTGCAACATGTGGTCGTCGGTTCGGGAGTCGCTGCAGGGGGCTGCTGGAGCGCTCGCAGAGGTGAGCGCCGACGTTGCGTCGGAGGCGACCCGACTTACAGTCGTCGCAGCAAATCACGCGGGTCGGCTCGCTGAACGGACGAGGCTGTATGCGCAGGTGACAGCGAAGCAGCAGCGAATTGCGCTGATCAAGCAGAGCTGGGGTTCAGACTCGTACGACGCCATGGATGCGGGCGACATCGCGACGGTCGCGACCAACTTTCACCGCGCAAAGGCAGAGATCCAGCGGGTCGAAGAGGAGATCGAGGCCAAGCTGATCGAGATCGCGGCCCTTGACGCCGCGCCGGCGCAGTCGGCCGAGACTGCCGTGCAGCAGCTCCCGTCGTCGTATTCCGTGGATGCGTGGCCCGGCGGCGGTGCGGCGGAGGCCCGCATTCAGGAGGCCGTGCCCGCAATGCCTGTCGTCACTGCAGTGCCTGGCGTCATGATCGGCACCGCAGTCTCTGCGATACCCGAGGCGCTGCCTAGGGCGCTGCCTGCCCGAGCCAAGCCAGAGGAAGGTGTGGCTGAGAGCTCAGAGGATGAAGGTGGGGTGTAGTCACGTTTCACATACTTTGAAGAACAAAAGGGGCAAGCACCCAGCTTGCCCGGTGCGGTCGCACGGCTTTACGTACTCGCTCTCGTCGCGGCTCTCTGGTCTCTCGGGTCTCGGCTTACGGCTATCTTTTGATCGGCATCCTTGTGTATGTGACCTTCGAATGTGACCTGTTTACGTCACGCCGGATCACAGCGACACGGGACCACGAGTCAAGAGAGAGATTTTCACCTGCTCTGAGAAGAGAACCAGGGCGGGGTGGTGTGGAGAGAGAGCCACTAGTAGAGTGCGCACTACGGCTTTAGGGAGAGCGAGAGGGTGGGAAAAGTAACCCGTGAAACGCGAACGATCGTGGCTGCTGCACGAACGGCTGCGATTCAGCGGTCGTGCCGCTGAGCGTTCAGGTCGAGCTCGGCGAGCTGAGCAAGATCATCCAGTGGCAGTCAGTCAGTGCGCAGTGGCGCGACAGCTGGAATCGACAACAAACAAACGTCTCATTAAGATCGGCTACCAGGGGCTCCAGGCCCCAAATGATGTGTGAGTGTTAGAGTTGTTTGGTATTGCTCTCGTAAAAATCTCTCTCTGAATCGCAAGCGTTGAGGAACGGCGAACGCGAGAAGATCGCGTTTCGCGTTTCAGGTCCTTCAAAGGTAAGCTCGCCCCGACCGAGTCTCCAGCCGAGCCGGTGGCCGACAGACATCTATCTGCACATACATATCACCGGCCTCATCGATCGATCGACGAGGCCATCCATGGCGGGGTCCAGCAACTCGAGAAGAGAAGATTCCAGAGTATCGACCTCTGGCTTGTCAGTCGCGGTCAGACACTTGATGACCCCCATGAAGTACAGCGATCGCCACCTCGCTGGCCTCTCCGCAAGGCCCCCCGACCGCGTCGAACTCATCGGCGCGGGCTCTCTCGGCTACGGGACCGGCCCCAGCTTCGGCTGAGGGCAGACAAGCTGCCGAGCCCAAATCACTGTGAGAGTCGTGATTTCTTGTTGGGTTTCAAAAATCTCTCTCTCTCTCTCGCAACTCGCCCTGAGCGTTTCCTCTTTCAACGAAGGCCCCTCTACGCTCCATCCAGCAATAAAATATTCTTAGCTTCAAGCCCCCCTCCGAGACTAGGGACAGAACCACACCAGTATAGACCAGAGGGACTGCGCCTCGCCCCCACTTGCCCTGACTGCACAGGATAGCGTGCCCCGATAACGGCGACACATAGTGGGGGACACTGCGCAAGGAGGGGGTGCGAAGGCTCATTGGGGTGCTAGGTGGGACCATGAGGGGGGGTGGGCGGGGTCCTGTGGGGGTGAAATGTTGCGCGGCGAATTCGAACCTACCCCCTCGCCGCGCCGATCCTCGCGCGGAGGGTAAAACCCTGTGGGACAAAACCCCCCCGCGGTCGGCAGTCTTCAGAGTGGACCCCCCCCTCCCCAGCCTCCCCTGTGCATCTCGCACCCCCCCCCGCTCCCCATCGGTGACTCGCGAAGGACACGGACACTCGGGGTGAGGGGGGGTCCCCCCGGAGGGGGCTCTGGGGCATTGTTGGGTTGATCGCTCGTGCCGATCTCGGGTCGATCTCGGGTCGATCTCGGGTCGATCTCGGGTCGATCTCGGGTCGATCTCGGGTCGATCTCGGGTCGATCTCGGGTCGATCTCGGGTCGATTTCGGGTCGATCTCGGGTCGGTCTCGGGTCTCGGGTCGGTCTTGGGTCGGTCTCGGAGTGGTCTAGAGAAGAAAAAACGGGGCGAGATGAGGGGCGAGATGAGGCGAGGTGAGGCGAGGTGAGGGGGGCGAGATGAGGTGAGATGAGGCGAGATGAGGCGAGATGAGGCGAGATGAGGCGAGGTGTAGTAAGACATAAAAAGAAACTCCCGGGAGAGCCTTCCGCGTCGTCATTGGTAAAAGAAAGAAAGAAAACAGACACCCAAGGGAGGGATGGGAGACGGCACGCCGCCACCACACAGGGATTTTAAGGAGAAGAGTGTGGTGCTAGCCGTCGCCCACCCTAACCCTTGGTCGTCTGCCTCTTTCTATCTCCCTTCGCAGTCCCTCGCCGATTCTCGCTGCAACCTTCATGCCACCTCGCGGTCGTCCCACCCACTCTCGTCGTTCTCCCTCCTGTCGCTTCCTCCTCTTGTCGCGTCGCTCTCGTCTGCCTCGTCCTGCGACGCCGCCGCCGCCTGCCGATCCCTTGGGGAAAAACGAAAGAAAACGGACAACCCAAGGGAGGGATGGGAGGACGGCACGCCGCCACCTTAGGGTACCCCTAGGGTTCTGAGGGCCGGATTGTTTTAAGACCTTTTAAGAAATGAGGAGGTTTGGGGGCTCAAATTGTCATTTAAGAGATTGCAGGCACGGGGGGTCCCTCTTTTAAGTCCGTTTAAGAAAATCGGCCTCACCGGCACGCGTCGCTGGGTTCCGCGCCGGTTTCTCCAATACTGCCGTTATTAGGCACGAACCCGCCACTGAAGACACATCTGTAAGTCTGGTGCACTGGCGGGAGCCATACTCGCATAGGGGACGCGTGCCAGCTGACTGTAGCCAGCTTCCCGGCCTCCGGCGTCTACCGGGGAGCCTCCCGGACCATCGACCTCTCGGGAGCTCTCCCGCACCGTTTAAGCGTTTAAGACCGTTTAAGGAATCGGCGGCCCAGCAGCTCTTAAAACCTGCCATGGCAGGTTTTAAGCCGTTTAAGCCGCAGGCGCCCCAGGGCCCACCCCTTTAAGCCTAGGGGTACCCTAAGGCCGCCACCACACAGGGATTTTAAAGTTCCGTGTCTGAGTACGCAAGTTTTTTTTTAGAGGATGGTGGATGCCCGGCATAATGTCTCGTATGGAGCGGCGTTTCCAGTTACCAGGGGCTCCAGGCCCCAAATGATGTGTGAGTGTTAGAGTTGTTTGGTATCGCAAAAAATCTCTCTCTGCAGCTCTCTGAATCGCAAGCCGGTTGAGGAAAGAGAAGATTTGTTGGCGTTTCAGGCACTTCCTCACCGCGATTGGTACACCCTCCCTAGTAAGACATAAAAAGAAACTCCCAGTGGCACGGGACTGGCGCGCAGTGGCACTCACACGAAAAAAAGAACTCCACCGCGCCCGCGCCCTATCACTGACGAGGCGTAGCATGGCAACAGTTGGGCCGAACGAGCGGCATTTCCCATCGCTTCCCACCTTCCTACATTCTTCCTACTACTCGCTCGGCAAACTCTCCAGCGCGCCCGCCGCTTCGCACGACGTCTCCGGCGAGGCTGCGCTCGCCGCCGCCGTCCACGAGAGGTCCTTCAAAGGCGAGCTCATCGTCTTCTCGTTCAACTTTTGCGCCATCCCGGAGGTGAGACACAAGCCATTTAGCAGGTCAAAAGACCCACAGGCACGTACTCGCTCCGGATTGCGGACACACGCGAGCACTGCACCGGTCTCGCCACACATGCATCGGAGGCCGATCTCACACGCGAGCCTGCTCCTCCACTGCCCCGCCGACCCTCGGCAGGCGATCAACGCAGCGCTGATGCTGCGGCAGGCTGGTCTCGGCCGCCCGCCTGACACGTCCATGACACGTCGGAGACGCCGCACGACATGCTCCGCAGGCCGGTTTTGCCCACTTCATGCCGCTCAGCGACGGCCGCGCGACCTGCGAGGCGATGCGGCAGCAGCTCGCACGCGCCGATGCCGAGGCGCACGCCTCGACGCCGTGCTACTTCGCGTCGGCGCCCAACTCGCTCGGCGGCTGAGGCTGCGGCGCGGCTGGTCTCGTTGTGTAGCTGGCTCCGGACGTGGTGCCCGTCACGTATGCTAGGCGGCTGGGCCTCGTGGGGCGGCGGCGCGGGCGGCGTCCGTGCGGAGCGGTCGCAAGGACACGTCCACACGACACGTCCGTGGCGTCTCCTGCAGGCGCGGGCTGCGTCAGTGCTGAGCAGGTGAGCCCAGCGCGCCCGTGCGCCGTCGAGCAGCTGTGGTACGTCCGGTACGCTGTCGCGGCGCGCTTGCTGCGCCAGGCACCACGCGACCAGCGACCAGCGCCCCACTGCTCTTCGGCGCTGTTCATGCCGCGTACCCAGCGATGCACTCACTCCAGCTGTCTAGACCAGCGCAGCCATCAGCATGCTGTGGCTCTGACAGGCCGAGGCGAGAGGCGCGTCTAGAGAGCGAGTCTTGTCCCCTCCTCCCTTGTCCCCTCCTCTAGAGAGCGAGTCTTGTCCCCTCCTCCCTTCCCTGCCGCCACCCGCCAGGGCTCCTCTCCCTCGAGACACCGACGCTGATGTCCTTGTTCGCATTGTTCTACCGCCAGGTGGGCGGGCTCCTCTTCCTCGATACCGACTTTGCCCTGCTGCGCGACCCCTACACGCAGCTCAAGGCACCGCCGCTCAGCCGCGCGTCCCTCGTCCTGATGCCCGACCTGCGCGGGTCCGCCACACCGGTCAACGCCGGGCTCTGGTACGCGCAAGGCGAGGCGAGTAGTGCGCACAAGGGAGACTCGGCGGCACAGGAGGCGGCACGGACGGGGCGCAGACGCCAGACGGGGTGGCACGTAGTTCCGCCAGACCACTCGTCCACCCATGGTGAGGGAGCTGCCACCGTGTCGGCGCAGTGCCGGCAGCACTGAGGACGCAGACTGCCGACTCCGCGCGGGGACTCCTGTATCTCGACTGCACCTCGGCTGTATCTCGGCTGCACCTCGACTGCACCTCGGCTGCACCTCGGCTGCACCTCGGCTGCACCTCGGCTGTACCTCGGCTGTACCTCGGCTGTATCTCGCCTCCTCAGGCGCGGGTGCGCCCTCCTCCGCTGCCCGTTGGGTGGTTGAGCAAGTCGCTCGCCGGACCGAGGTCAAATCTCCCCACATCTCCCCACATCGCCCTGCCGAGGTCCCGCTGCTACCTCTGCCTCCCTCCTCCCTCCCCGTCGCCTCTCTCCACTACCAATTCCCTTGCCGGTGGGCCCCCCCCCCCCCCCACACCCACCCACCCACCCACCCGCGCGCGCCTACCGTCCCCCCCAGGCGGTGATTCGGCTGCCGACACCGCGCAAGCAGCTGCCGCCGTACGACCAGGCGGAGATATGGGGAGATATGGAGAAGGGGGGGGATAGGGAGGAGATTGCGAGCAGCTGCAACAGCCGTACAACCAGCCAGGCGAAGCTAGTCGGGTAGAAGCAGCCTCCCTTGGAACGATCGGCCCCCCCTATCCACGCCCGAAGCGACTAGCGACAGGGGTGTGTGTGTGGCCCAACTCCACCGGGCGATGCTCATCGATGCCCTCGCCTCGGCGGTCACCTCTCCCCACCTCTCCCCACCTCCTCTCCCCACCTCTCCCCACCTCTCCCCACCCCTCCCCACCTCTCCCCACCTCTCCCCCACCTCTCCCCACCTCCCCCCACCTCTCCCCACCTCTCCCCACCTCTCCCCACCTCTCCTCTCCCCACCTCTCCCCACCTCTCCCCACCTCTCCCCCACCTCTCCCCCACCTCTCCCCCACCTCCCCCCACCTCTCCCCACCTCTCCCCACCTCTCCCGACCAGGCCATGCTGAATGACGCCCTCGCCTCGGCATCCCGCGGCGTCTCGACGGCCTCGTACATGTGTGCCCCCACCCCAACCATCACCCTCACCCTAACATGTCGAACATTGTCGAACATGGTCGCCCTCGCGTCGCCGCCTCCTCCCTTCCCACCCGTCCTCCTTGACTGCTCGGCTCAACACCTCACCTCCACCCCGCCAGCTCCCCCCCGCAAGCCCCACACCACCAACTCCACACAAAAACACAACCCAAGACGCACAAGCAAGCACAGACAGTCGAGAAGGGAGAGACAGCAACTTCACCCGCCCTCCACCCCACCGCGCGTGTCGCCGCCACTCAACCGGCTGCCCTCTCCTCTCCTCCCCTCTCCTCCCCTCAGGTGCATTCACCCTCGTGTCGCCGCCTCCTCCCTCTGCGCGAGCGGAGGAGGGAGGCCCCGGCCACAGCTGCCCTGGCTGCGAGAGGATGGCGTGCGCTGGCGCGACGTCGCCGAGATCCAGCCGAGATCCAGCCGAGAGACAGCCGAGAGCCAGCCGAGAGCCAGCCGAGATCCAGCAACTCTCTGGTGCCGGTCGCACACAGGCTATCTCTCTCGGCCGTACCTCGGCTGCATCTCGGCTGCACCTCGGCTGTACCTCGGCTGCATCTCGGCTGCATCTCGGCCGTACCTCGGCTGCATCTCGGCTGCATCTCGGCTGTATCTCGGCTGTATCTCGGCTGTATCTCGGCTGTATCTCGACTGTATCTCGACTGTATCTCGGCTGTATCTCGACTGTATCTCGACTGTATCTCGACTGTATCTCGACTGTATCTCGACTGTATCTCGACTGTATCTCGGCTGTATCTCGGCTGTATCTCGACTGTATCTCGACTGTATCTCGACTGTATCTCGGCTGTATCTCGGCTGTATCTCGTTAGGCTGCGCCTCTCTGTGCCGACGGCGCGGAATACAAGCGTCGAGGAGGGAGGCGGGGCGGCGGCGCAGGCCCATCCCTGCCCCCCGCCTCCCTCCCTCCCTCCCTCCCCACTTACCTCCCTCCCTCCCTCCCCACTTCCCTCCCTCCCTCCCTCCCTCCCCCCCCCTCCCTCCCCGCCACTTCCCTCCCCACCGCCCCAGTCCCGGTACAAAACAGAGAAACACAACTCGCCGATAGGCTCCGCTGGGCGAGCGTGCGGCGCTGGCGCCGCCGTCGCTCTTCCCGACGGGGTGGGAGGCGCAGCGCTCGGGCGCGCTCTCGCCCTTGCGCAGCGACGCGCCGGCGCTCGTGCATCTGCTCGGCGCCCGGCGCTCCGGGTCTTCGGCAGCAGTCCTCGACCTCGTGCTCCTGACTTCTTGATCACTCGGCAGGTGTCCGGTGCCATACCCCCACAGTACCCGAACCCATCCCCTACCCCCACAGTACCGAACCCGGCAGGCGTCCGGTGCCGCTGGTGCGGCAGCAGCCTCGACCTCGACGCGTCTGCAAAGTCTGAGCGGGCGGCTGGGTGGCGGGTCATGTGAGTAGCCGCGCCGGTCGTCACCGACGCAATATTTCCTCAGGTGCCCCACTAGCATACACATCCCACTCGCTCATGTCGGAACCGTCGGAGAAGAGCGACTAGCACACCTCAAGAGTCCCAGACACGGCGAGGAGTCCCACACTCCCTGTGTGATGCACGCCCTGCGAGCGGGGCGGGGTGGTGCGCGACTGCGCGGCCCTGATCACTGAGTCGCGACTCGACTCGTGAGGGGCGAGTACTGGTTGAACACTCAGCTGTTACCTCAGGTTTGAGTGGGCGGCGCTCTCGGGCTACTTCGCCGCGGCGGCGCTCCGCCCCTCGTCCGTCTCCCGCGGGTCGCCGGAGCTGTACGGCCGACACGATGCTAGATGCGGCTCGCATGTCCTGTGGCATTCAAACCGGGGCTCGAGGCGTCTCTCTTCTAGCTCCGGCTGTGCCCAGCTGTGCTCACCGCAGCCCGCGCATTCACGCAAACACACAGCCCCGGGCCCAGATCGCACGCCTCGGACAGTCGAGGACGGGCAGGCAGACAGAGAGCGACTAGTCGGACAGGCAGACAGAGAGCGACTAGTCAGACAGGCAGGCAGAGAGCGACTAGTCAGACAGGCAGACAGAGAGCGACTAGTCAGACAGGCAACGCCGAGTCCCACGGTAGGCTAGCGCGATGCCCGCCTCTAAGCGCGACCCACGCGATGCTCCGAACACACCGCACGGGGCCGTGCTCTCACGCCCCGACGTTGGCGCATCCACCGCGCGCAGGCCGACGCTGCCCCGCGCGCCACCACGCGCTCCGGTGGGAGGCGGGGCCTCTGCTTCGTGCGTCGCCGCGGGACGTCCAGGCGGCGGAGCGGTCGGACGACGGGGGCGCGCCGCCCGCAAGGGACGTACGTCCCGCTCGCTGACCGACCATAGACGGAGGCGTCTGCACCTTGCACAGGCGCCGCCGCCCGCGTGCTCATCCGTGCCCTCGTCAGCCTGGCTGTTGCCACCGGCCGGCAGGCCGTGCTGCCTTCCTTCCGCTGCTCCGCGCCGTGGATCGAGAGCGCTAGGTGGCCAGCCGCCGTCCGCACGCCGACGGGCCGCTGCGCGCCGTGCAATGTCGAGGCCCTTTTCTTGACCCTCCTCCTCCTCCCCCCCCGCCCCCGGCGCCGTGAACGGCGTCTCTTCACGGCCGTCTCGCCGTGAACAGGTCACTTGCAGACCGCACGCCCTCCCCGAGTCGCTGGCGGGGGGGGCGGCGGGCGGCACGGGCGGCGACGGCGGGGCGGTGGTGGACGTGCGAGCGCTCGCGGATGGTCTCGAGACAGCCGATGCGGAACTCACACCACGCCATTCACTGTGCCGAGTCTCCGATCCACAGTCGAGCCGTGTTGAGCCGTGTCGCTCGCGCGGCGCTCCGAATACACCGAGACGAGACTTGACCTCAGGCCCTGGGAGCCGAAGCGATCTCACCCTAGGTGGGCGGCTGCTCGACACACTCTCGGCGCTGACCGGGCCGGCGGCGGTGGTGGCCGCCAACTTAACGACGGCGCAGATCGCCGCCACGGCGGACGGTCTCGACGCGCCCCTCCTCGTTGGGCACCCGCGGCTGGCGCGCGCGGTCGCCTCGAACCTACGAGGAGTCTCTGGCGCACCCGGGAGGGCGGGGCAGGCTTGCAGAGATGCCGCCGAGAGACCGCTCCAAGAGGCAGCACAGTTGTCTGAACGGATATAGACCCCCCCCCCCCCCGCCCCCTCCCGACCCCCCTCTTCTCCACCCTCGGAACCCTCCGCCCCCGGAGCCAGGCCTACTTTCGCGCGGCGGATGAGGTCGACGCCGCCGAACGCGTGGCTCGCTGGCGCAAGGAGGTCGCACAGCGCGGCAGCGGCGGCCGCTCTCCCCTCTCCCTCCGCCTGGGCGCCGTGTGCAGCGACCTGCTCTGCTCTGACGAGGCGTGCCACGCAGCGGCGCTCCGAAAGTGCAACGAGGCGTCGCAGCACGCGGGGAAGGCGCAATGGACAGGCGAGGTCGTGGACCGGCAGCGAGCTGCGCGCTGCAGAGAGTGGCTGAACGCGCTGCCAAAGGCGCAGCGCCCCGTCTGCGACGGCGTGCTTGGCGAGTGTATCGTGCCTGACCCACCACCATAATGTGTGTCGTCTCCACGCTGTTGCTAACGTTTCCCCTTGCCGTCCGCGTCGGGGGAGGGCGGCGCGGAGCCCCTTCCCGTACTCGAGTAGCACCCAGGGCAGAGCTGGGGCGCTATCCACCTCCAGGGCTGTCTGGGCTCTCCGAGTCTGGGCTCTGGCTGCTCGCCAGCCAACCGTACGCCCAACTCTGCGCCCGGCGAGTGGGTTTGGCAAATCAGTGGCAAAAGCTGGGCAGGCGACAGCGAGAGCCGAGACGTACAAAAAGTGTGCAAACCTGTGGTATCGCGGGTGGATCGGCGGCAACGAGAGACGCGTGCGCCAGCGACAGCAAAGCGTCCAGCAGACGGAGGACCACCGAAAGCGGGAGTTTGATCGGTACAGGAACACCCTGCCAGATCCCTTCAGGTCATGCAAAATAAATCCGAGAGCCCAGTGAGACTGAGAGGATACCGGGCGTTTGCTTGGCAGGAGGGACGCAGCACACCGATGACTTTTCGTGCGGAGAGGCGCTGGCGGAGCGAGCTTCTCAATCAAGCTGTGAACACTGTCGTTGCTGTCTCTCTCCCTTCTCGACTGTCTGTGCTTGTGCGTCTTGGGTCCGGAATTGTCTTTGACTTTTTTAATTTTTTTGGCCTGCCACTGTGGGCCTGCGCTGAAGCGTTCTCCCCGGGTAGTCTCTGTGATCGGCCTCCATTCATCGTGTACTCGGTGATCGTTGTGGGTCCACGAGGAGAACGCGGTCAGCGCCGCGCCGGATCTCTCTGAGAGCCGGCGCGGATCGCGGATGCGACTCAAGGCTCTGCCGGGCGGGTCTGCGGCCGGGCGCCTGCCGGACTGCGGGTCCAAAATGCCCTGGCGCTCGCGCGCGCCACCGCCCCCGGCGCGGGGTGGGAAGTCAGAGGGCCCAACAGGAGAATCGTGCTTTGAGTGGGGTTGTTTGGTGTTGGGTTGGGTTTTGGTTGGGTTGGGTTGTTCCGCGTGAGGTTGGGTCGTCGGCGCGAAGGGTGAGGTCTCGACCGCCGCCGCTCACGCCAGCGGACGGCCACCATCGGTGTTTTTGGCTTCGCCACCGTCCAAAGCGTGCGCAATGCGCTCGCCGGCATCGAGCGAGCACGCCTGTCCGACGAGCGGCTTGCTGTGCGGACGCCTTCTTGTGGCTCTCGTCGAGAGCGTTTTGCGTCCCGGCGGGTGGGAGAATGTGTGTCGTCTGATGTGTCACTGTGTGCGTCACATCAGTCTTGATAGCAAGCACGGTCGATCCGTCAAAGCGATACACTCTTCCTATCGCAATCCTACATCTTCTACCAGGTACTGTTGTGGGCTAAAGTCTGCCCAGGTTGTGAGGGACACGATCCCGGCGTGAACACAACTTACTGACGGATCCGCTCCTGACAGTGGCACGCGCCGCGCTCGCGGCGCGTGCCACTGTCTTTGTTTGAAGTAAAAAGTCGAATCAGAGCGGTGTCGGCGCTGTCGCCTGTCCCGCGATTTTGTCCCCCGGACCGCCCGTCCGGACCGCTCCGGGACGCACGCCGGCGAAGCACCATCAAGTTGCTGTACGGCCCCGGCATCGCCTTCCTTCCCAGGCTTAGCTAGACTGAGAGATATTGTGCACATGGTTGGTCTCTACAATATATACACTGACACTGAACCTCCCAGAGCTCGTCCCGGTCCGTTACGGCCATCCTCGGCCTCCGGAGGGCCCCCGGCCGCGGCGCGGTGCGGCGGAGTCACAAACAAATCCGACGGCAGAGCACCGGGACGCGGTCGGGCGATCTGAGGCCCAACTAGGCGTATGCATTGCCCATCCAGGGCTATCACCTGGACCTATCAACAGGCGCCGCGCGCCGTGCTCAGGAGCTGCTGCTCCAACCTGTTCACACTTCTTCGTACGGCGCAGTAGGACTAATCCTGACTGGGCCTGCGCTGAAGATCTATGAGCGAGGAAGCCGGCGAGGCGGCTGTCCAGGGCCAAGTTGGCGACGCGCTGGGGTGCGCGAGTCCCTCCGCGGGTGCTGCCACCGCCTCCGCGCCCGTCGACGCCGGAGTCCCCACGCTTCCGATGAAGCGCAAGTCGCCGCCACCCGAGGATTCAGAGCAAGAGCCGGAAGCGGCCGTGGGTGGGAGACTGCTAATGCACGTTCAAATGGGAGGCCCGCCCCCCACAGCAGCGCCGGCTATCGAGGCCGCACCCGTGGTGCAGGCGGCAGCGGTCGCCGAGGCGGTCGCTGCGGCGGTTTCCGCCGGCCCGCCCGTTCAGCGGCCGAGGGGCCGCGCGCCGAACGACGAGAGCGGGCGGCCAAAGGTGTGGAACCCAAATTTGGCCTGCTGGGTGACGGAGGAGCGGCAGCGGCAGCGCATCGATGCGCTGCCGTATGGCCACATCCCTGTCGATGATGCGCTCGATGCGCTGGAAGTGGAGGTCGCGCGGAAGCGGCAGGCGGACCCGGGGTGGCGGCTCAGCAGCAGGTACGAGATGGCGGCGCCATGGGGCGATCGTAGGTGGATGGCGGGGCATTGGGTGATGAACCGCTCGGCCGATCGCGAGAATTGGAAAGCGATACGCGCCAAGCGCGCCAAGATGACCGAGCGGCAGCGGCAGCGACTCGACGCGCTTCCCTACGTCGGCGCGGCGGCGAAGCAAGTCCCGCTCGGAGGAGCTGCTGGAGTGTACCAGCCGCCCGGCCCCCAGCCGCAGACGACAGAGGCGGAGGGGCTGCGGCTGCACCTCTCCAGCCGCAACGCCACCGGCTACAAGGGCGTGCAGGCGGACGGGGACCGCTTCCTAGCGCGGCACTGGGTGGACGGCAAGGAGGCCGTCTCCCTCGGCACTTTCGCCACGCCGGTGGAGGCGGCGGTGGCGTACGCGCGGGCGGCCGGGCAGGCTCCAGCGGTGGCCGCGGAGGCGGAGGGGCTGCGGCTGCACCTCTCGAGCAGCAGCGTCACCGGCTACAGGAACGTGTTTAAGAACCGCCATTCTAAATTCGTCGCGAGGCACAAGGTGGACGGGAGGAAGGTCTGCCTGGGAGGAAGGTCTTTCGACACGGCGGTGGAGGCGGCGGTGGCCTTCGCGCGGGCGGTCGGGCAGGTGGAGGCGGCAGGCGCGGGAGGGCCAGTGCGGGCCGCAGCGGCGGCGGCGGAGGGCGCAGAGGCGGCGGAGGGCGCAGAGGCGGCGCAGGCGGCGGCGGAGGAGCTGGAGAGGCTCGAGCTGCGGCAGGTGGTCGACCGGCTGCTCGCCAACGTCGAGCGGAGGGTGGCCACCGAGGCGTGGCAGGCGAAGTGGCAGGCGGAGCGGCAGGCGGAGCGCGAGGAGCGCCGCGCGCAGAAGTCCGCCCTCATGAAGACGGGCTCCGACAACGAGGCGGCAGCGGCACTCCTGCGGGTGGGCATTGTGGCGGAGGCGGAGGGGCTGCGCCTGCACCTCTCCAGCCGCAGCAGCACCGGCTACGCAGGCGTGCGCGAAGCCCGTACTCGGGACCAGAAGAGGTGTCCCGCACTTTATGTGCGCCGGTACTCGAAGCGGGCGACCTTGCCTTGCCGCTTCGAGGCGCAGCGCAAGGTGGGCGGGCGGGCGGTCTGCCTCGGCACCTTCGATTCGGCGGTGGAGGCGGCGGTGGCGTACGCGCGGGCGGTCGCCGCCGACGCCCCCGTGCAGACGGACTCCGACAACGAGGCGGCAGCGGCGCTCCTGCGGGTGGGCGTCGTGGCGGAGGCGGAGGGGCTGCGCCTGCACCTCTCGAGCAACAGTACCGGCTACAGGGGCGTGTACAAGGTCAACGGCCGCTTCCAGGCGGTGCAGATGGGCGGGAAGAAGGTCTCCCTCGGCTGTTTCGGCACGGCGGTGGAGGCGGCAGTGGCGTACGCGCGGGCGGTTGGGGAGCGCGAATAAGAGGCAACTCGCAGCTCAAGATGCTCTCGCACCGGATGGCGTGTGGGGCGCGAGTATGTGGGTCTGTGAGCATGTGGGTCTGTGTTTGTGTCTATATGACCTATCCTCGCTATAAATAATAAAAGGGACGCTGCCGCGTACGGCTACGGGGGAACGGGGGAAGTGAGAACTGAGATGTGAGAGTACCACAGGAGGCACGCCGTCTTAGGTTTCTTTCGTGGTGTACCCCTGTGTGAGTGTGCCAGCCGTGCGCGCCAGAGTCACTTTGTTTGGGCGAACAGCAACAGGTGAGACGTCTCTGTCTCACGGGTGTTTCGTCCCTGTCTCAACGCTGTGCCACAAATGCGTCTCAGTAATGTCTCACGGACTCTCACCGATCTCTGCGTTGTCGTCTCAGCCTGGTCACAGCAACAGTCTCACTTTGTCTCAAGGTGATGTCACACACACGGGTCACGGCACAGTCACCTTCAGAGACGTGTTTGAGACACCAGTGAGACAAATGTTCACCCCTGCTGTGTGACACTGTCGTCTCTACTACGTCTCTTCATTTCATCCGTCAGAGCGTCTCACACTCGTCTCACACACGTCCTAGCAATGGACGACGGGGCACACGCACTCGCGGAACACAGGGCATTACACACGAGGCGTTGTGTGCGTTCTCAGGGAAAGGCATCACCACAGACAAAAGGATAAAAGGATCCACAAAAGTATGTGTAGTCAGAGGGGCAGCAGTGGGGACCCCCACTCACGGCCCCGTGAGCGCCCTCCCTGCGATCTTTTTCGGCGATGCCGCCACCACACAGGGATTTTAAGGAGAGGGGTGTGATGCGCTAGCCGTCGCCCATTCGGGTACGTAGGTAAGAAAAAGAAAAAAAGAGAAAAGACCGATAGGGGAGGAGGACAGGAGATGCGCCAAGGAAATATCTTTTTCGGCGATGCCGCTACCTAGGTACTGTACGCGAAGGACGAAGGTGAGCACACTGGCGCGCATGCTTCGCTCCTCTCTCCGCCTGCTGCAACCATTTGCTCGCACAACGCGAGTCCACGGCCTGCACACGTCGGCTGCCGCACGCTCTGCCGCTGAACCTCTGTCGCCGCCCAGCGACGCTGAGCTGCTGGACCGTCTGCTGAGCGGTTCCATGTCGCAGCATCGGTGCCCTCACCAGCGCCTCCTCCCTCGCCATTGCTCACTCGCCACCGCCACCGCCCACGCCACCGCCCACGCCACCGCCACCGCCCACGTCCACGCCACCGCCACCGCCACCGCCACCACCCACGCCACCGCCACCGCCCACGCCACCGCCCACGCCACCGCCCACGCCACCTCAGGCTCGAGGCGGAGCTCGGCGGCGACGCCGAGCGCGCGGTGCGCGTGCGGCGGCTGTACGTCGAGGCGGTCTCCGCCCAGGACGGCGTGGGTGACCCGGCCGCCGTGCTGTCGCTACCCGTCGAGGAAGTGGACGGCCCGGAGTTCTATTCGAGCGTGCTCGGCACCAACTGCGAGAACGTGGTGGGGTTCGTGCCTCTGCCGGTCGGCGTGATCCGGCCCCTCCTGCTCGACGGCCGCCGGCTTACGGCGCCGCTCGCGCCGACGAGCTCGCTGCCGAGCGGGTGATCGCCCTCCTGGTCACGCCATTGATGCGACGAGCAGGTGCCGCTCGCGACCACCGAGGGAGCGCTCATCGCCTCGACCAACCGAGGCGCGCGAGCGATCGCGGCGGGCGAGGGCGTGAGGACGGAGCTGCTCGGCGACGGCATGACGCGCGCGCCGGTGGTGGAGTGTGTCGACTTGCGGCAGGTTGTGCGGGAGACACGCCTCCGAGAGCCTCCGAGACACCTCCGCGACCCTCCGAGACACTCCCCGAGAGCACCTCCGCGACACCTCCGAGACCTTTCCCGCCTCCTCCCTCGCGCGCGACGCGGCGCTTCGTTCTCCGCACCGGCACGCGTGACGCGTCCACGCGGCGCGCGCCGGCAGGCGGCGGCGCTCAAGCGCTGGTTCGAGGCGCCCGACCGGCTGCCGGAGCTGCAACGCACCTTTTCGGCGACGTCTCGCTTCGGCCAGCTGCTCGGCGTCAAAGTCGCGCTCGCCGGGCGGCACGCGTTCGTGCGCTTCCGCTGCGCGACGGGCGACGCCATGGGCATGAACATGGTGGGCAAGGGCGTCAACACCGTGCTCGCGGAGGCGCTCGAGACGCCGGCGCTCGAGGGCGCGGAGCTGATCGGCCTCTCGGGCAACTACTGCACCGACAAGAAGCCGGCCGCGGTCGACGGGAGCTCGGCGGCCGCGAGATCGGCCAAGATCGATCGAGCTTACCGCAGAGGGCTTCCGGGCGTAGGTCAACTGGATCGAGGGGCGGGGCAAGCACGTCGCGGCGGAGGCGGTCATCCCTGCAAAGGCGGTGCGTGAGGTGCTCAAGGCGGAGCCGCTTCGCATCGCGCGCCTGAACGTCGCCAAGAACCTGCTCGGCTCGGCGCTCGCGGGGTCGATTGGCGGCTTCAACGCTCACGCGTCCAACCTGGTGACCGCCGTCTTCCTCGCCTGCGGCCAGGACCCCGCGCAGAACGTCGAGTCGTCGCAGTGCATCACCACCATCGAGGCGGTCCCCACGCCCGACGGCGACCACGACCTCCGCATCGCTTGCACGATGCCCTCCGTCGAGTGCGGCACCGTCGGCGGCGGCACTGCGCTGCCCGCGCAGGCGGCGTGCCTTCGGATGCTCGGCGTCGCGGGCGCCGCGGACCCGCCCGGGGAGAACGCGGCGCAGCTGGCGCGCGTCATCTGCGCGACCGTGCTGTGCGGCGAGCTCTCGCTCATGTCTGCGCTCTCGTCCAACCACCTTATCTCTGCGCACCTCGCCCTCAATCGCCGGCCCGCGGCACCCGCCGCCGACTGAGCGCGCACCTTCGCGCGCGCGTTCGGACCTCGGAGCGCCGCCACGCCCAGCGCTGGCCCCGCTGGCGGGCGTATTGAACCCCTGGCACGGCACGGCTTTGGCCTTTGCCTGCCCAGGCTCTGGATGGAATTGTTTGTCTATTTGTGGCTGCGAATAAGGGGGGAAGAGCGGGGAGGCGCCGGGGGATTTTTAAAAGTGACCTCTGCTCTCCGGGCGCTTGGTTCGTGGCCGGACCGGCCACAATCAAACCAAGCGCGTCGGCCCGTCGCCCGCAGTGTCCACTGTCTCTGTGCCTCACCCTCAGTGCTCAGCTGCTCAGACGGGCGGGGAGCCTCCCCCGCCCGCCGCCGTCTGGAGCGGCTTGACCGCTTCACCGCGCTACCCGCTAGTCGCCATCGGCGCGGCCGCGGGGGGCGGTTGCGACTGCGTCGCGGGCCGCGCGCAAGCGTGGCGTGGCGGGGCTCTTCGCTCCGCGGCACAGCCTGAGCCTCTCCGCCGCGCTCTTCCTCTGCGCTTCCTCTCCTGCGCGAATCGACCCGGCTAAAGACCCGGTCTCGGCAGCCTGAGCCGTGGACTCCAGCTAGCTGTGGACTCTACTACCCCAACCCCTCCCTCCCTCTCACTGGAGCCCCTGCAGCTATGAGCCGGTATCCGACACTTTTACTTGATGGAGCTCGAGCGGGCTCGCCAGCCTCTTCCAGCCCACTCGGGGGCTCGGCCGCCGCTGCGAGCGCGCAGCTGCGCCGCGCCCAGGAGCCTGGTGACCAGGAGCCTGGCGAGCGAGAGGCGCCCTCTCCGAGGTGAAGGGGCCGAGGCGAAAGGAGCAGGGAGGGGCCCAAGGAGCCTTCTTGCACTTGGGAGAATATTGGGGTCAGTGCTGATGATCGATTGCACTGACTGGATACCCCCCCACACACACACAAGGCGCGGATACATGATATTCTTGTCCACCGCCGGTGAACTTATGAAACGAAACTTAGCGGCACTGGATCCCCTACCCCCAGGGACCCGGAACAGGGCAATGTACCCCCCTTTTCTGCCATCGATCGACCATCGAGAGCTCCTAGCGGAATGCCCTCCAGAATGCCTTCGAGGAACATCACACCACCACCTCCGAATACGAGTACACACACCCTGATCCTCGCACTCTGCAGCGGGGCGCTGCTTTGGCCGGCCGCGGGTGTCGCCCTCCGCGCCTTGCGGCGGCGCCTGTGCAGCTGGGCGGCGGCGCTGCACCCGAGCGGCCAGTCCGAGCGCGGGTGCATCAAGGCGAGCGGCGCGCACGACCCGGGGAGCGTGGATCTGTTCGGAACTGTATCGACGGACGCCGCAAAGCTCGGCTCGGAGGAGATGAATACCCTATTCGTGCCGAATCCAAGAGGCGGTCCACAGCTCTCGTCCTTCTCGAGCAACATCAAGGACCTCGGTGCGTCTCCGTCAGGCACCAAGACGCCGCGTCGCTTCGTGTGCCTGGTCCTGGACCTTCAAAACGAGTACGAGGCGTACTTGCAGCACACTGTCAGCGGTGCGAGACACTCAACGCCTCCCGTTCACACCGTGCCCCTTTCCCGCCTCCCTCGCCGCCTCGCCGCCTTTGCCCAAATGCCTCGCCGCCGCGCCCACCTCCACCGAACCTAGGACACAGCGGACACAGCCCGGCTCGATTTCTTCCACGCTGGCGCTGTTTAGGTGCGAATGCAGTCCTCGCAGCCTTTCGGAAGCGCGGACAGCCGGTGGTCTGGACCAACTGGTCGCGCGTTTTCGCGGAGTCCCACCTCTACTCCGCAGTCGACCGGTGAACACACACACACACACACACACACACACACACACACACACACACACACACACACACACACACACACACACACATCGCTCCCCCCCCCACACATCCACACGCAAAGCACACATCACACACACGCACGCCCCTGTCTTTCTCCAGGTACTACGGCCCGCGCGGCATCGCCAACAAGACCAACCCGGTCTACATCTGGAGCGACGGCGGCAACATCACGCTGCCGCCGCTCGCGCCGATCGACGACTCGGTGCAGCGCCTTCGCGCCTCTCCGGTGGGGCTCCGAGCCTCGGCGCCTGCGTGAATCACGGCGCTCTGCTGTGAGCAGGAGCGCTCGCGCGTGATCGAGAGCAACCACCTCTCCAAGTTTGCAGACTTGGACGGCAGCGGCCGCGAGATTCTCTACCCGATGCTCAAGGCTCCCCCCCCCCCCCCCCTCTGGCTCCCCTCTCCTTCTCCCTTCCTCCTCTCCCCCCTCTCCCTTCCCTCTCTCCCTCACCCCTCGCTCTGTCCTCGCCCCCTCTGTCCCAGCACCCGACCCCCCGCAGGCGTGGGGCGTCGACACGATCGTGCTGCTCGGGTCGTGGACGGACGATTGCATCGCCGCCACCGCCTTCGACGCCGTCGACAGGCGCCACCTGCTCGTCAGAAGGCCGGCCATTGGACCCGGGGCAGGCGCGTGAGCGCGGGCTGGTGCCCTTTCGGGTAGGTACGGCTTCGACGTCCTGTTGGTGACGGATGCGGTGGCCACCGCCACGCCGCACGGCGAAAAGATGGTGGAGTGCATCGGCGCAGGCGCACTCGTCCGAGAGAGCGCCCGTCTTGCCCCCTTGGCCCTCGCCCCCTCTCTCCCCCTGACCGCATCTCACACACTCCCTCTCTTCCCTCCGCAGCCATCTGCACGCCGGTCACCTCGGCCGACGTCGCGAGCTACCTCGACGCCGCGCCGAGCGATATGGTGCTCCCGCCCACGGCGCCGCTGCACGGTGCGTCAGGCTCCGCCCCTCCCATCCCACCCCCCGCCTCAACGGCGCTGAGTACCGCTGCGTGTGCACGGTGTCGGATGCGGCAGGCTCCGTCTACCTGTCCTACGACCGGCACGTCTGCACACGCTCGCGCCACTCGTGAGACCGCCAAAGGTGTGCGAGGGGGGCGCGAGCGCGACGGCTCCCGACCGAACGTGTCCGGGACCAGGATGTCACACTTTGATGCAAAACAGCATTTGTACATTGGGTTCTCGAGGTAGGGTTTGAACGACAACGAGCGTCACACACCATTTGCATGCATGCATGAGCGCGACGTGGTCTGTCACATCTCTGTTCTCTCGGGGCGCGTTTTCTGCTTTTCTCGCTTGTTCGAGCGAGAAAAGACAAGGAAAAAACTACACCACCCACACACAGATTCGCATGCATGAGAGACGTCGGTGGCCTAAGGCCTAACTGACAGCAGTAACAAATAACAGTAACACGAGGGGTCCAGTACCACGCGGAATCGACCCTATCCAGTGCTCAAGTGCTCAAGTATAACACGCGTGGTCCTCGAGGCGTGGTCCGGTGGGTAGACACACAGCCACACACACTAGGCCACACAGTGACACAGACCTACTACCTAGTCACAATGACACTCAGCCAGTTGGGCTGCCACACACCCAACGCTCGTCATGCCGCCCGTCATGGTGCGGCCATTGCTCGCCTTGCCAACGCTCGTTGCGCCGTCGCAGCTCGTCCCGCCGCGGCTCATCGCGCGATCGCGACCGCCGTCGCGGCTCGCCCCGCCATCGCCGCTCTTCGCGTCCGTACTCGGCGCGCTGTTGCTCATCACGCCAGCGACGCTCCTCGCCTGGTTAGGACATATTTGGTGTAATTTGGGGGGTGTACGCCGTGGCCAACGACGGCGTCTGTTCACGCCTACAGCAATGAAGCGTATCCTTCCCGGGGCTGTTCCCTCCTATCTTCCTCGCGGTCAGGGAGCCGTTATCACACACAAGACTCAATTTTGCTTCCATCTACGTGGGGTGGCTCGCGTGCTTGGCTCTCTCGATGCGGTGGTCGCAAAAAAGAAAGGGAGGACGGCCCCGAATTAGGAAGCTATTCATGAGTAGGTAGGGTGTACACACTCCAAACAAACACTCCACCATTGTCTGTAGAAAGAACGCAAGCAGAACTTTATGATGAGCGTCCCAAGCAACGAACGAAAATGCGGCTCAGAACGCGATGCAGCCGTGAGCGTGACATGGGGTGTACCATTCGCTCTCCTTCACGTATGGGTCATTTGGCGTATCGGTGAGCGTTGACGCGGCCACGCGATAGCTGTCGGGTTTAATACAGCTTGCGTGACGCGTGTTCGTGCGTAAAATTCTCGTTTTTCTCGCGCGCGCCACTATTAATTAGCACTAACACCCAGGTCACAGGCACGTCGACGTCCACGAGGACAAAGGTACACCACGGGAGCCGCCCCTATTGAGAACAGTCAGTGTGCACAGTACTAGCCCAACAGCGGGGCGATCGCCCTCTCCAGGTAGGCTTGCTGCCCATTGGCTGTCGCGAAGCCGTCCCACTCGTAGAATGGAACGCTGATCACCCTCCAGCCAGCCGCCCTGAGGAGGCGCCGCTTGAGCAGCGTTGGCCCATTGGGTTTGCGCACGCCCGGGCCGTCGGGCAGCAGGAAGTGAGAGGGGCCGTCCACCTCGACAGCGACGCGTGAAGAGGGCAGCGCCAGGTCGAGCGAGTAGCCGGTGCGCGGCTCGAGATGCTCCTCCTCGAAGCCGTGCTGGACGGCGGCGAGGGCAGCCGCGACGGAGCGCTGTAAGCGCGAGATCGTAACTTCGGTGCCTTGCATGGCGTCGCAGCAGAGCTTGCGCTGGTACTCGGAGAGGAGGTGCTGCTGCCCGTCTGCTCCTCGCTCCAGGGAGAGCCAGAGCTGCCACTGGTGCAGCTGAGAGCGGACTTCCTCGCTCCACCTCGACGGATCCCGCGCGAGCGAGTCGCTGATCACGCGCGAGCAATCGGCAAGAAGCGCCTGGTGATAATAGTCGGCCGTCGCATACGCCCACACCGTGTTGGACAGATCCTGCGGCTTGAAGCCAGCCAGCCCGCCGCGCACCGCCGCCTCCGCCACCGCCGCGTACAGCGCGTCCGCAGCCACGCCCGCCGTCGCATACGCCCACACCGTGTTGGCCAGGTTCTGAGGGTTGAAGCCAGCCAGCCCGCCGCGCACCGCCGCCTCCGCCACTGCCGCGTACAGCGCGTCCGCAGCCACGCCCGCCGTCGCATACGCCCACACCGTGTTGGCCAGCTCCTGCGGCTTGAAGCCAGCCAGCCCGCCGCGCACCGCCGCCTCCGCCACCGCCGCGTACAGCGCGTCCGCAGCCACGCCCGCCGTCGCATACGCCCACACCGTGTTGGCCAGGTTCTGAGGGTTGAAGCCAGCCAGCCCGCCGCGCACCGCCGCCTCCGCCACCGCCGCGTACAGCGCGTCCGCAGCCACGCCCGCCGTCGCATACGCCCACACCGTGTTGGACAGGGCCTGCGGCTTGAAGCCAGCCAGCCCGCCGCGCACCGCCGCCTCCGCCACCGCCGCGTACAGCGCGTCCGCAGCCACGCCCGCCGTCGCATACGCCCACACCGTGTTGGCCAAATCCTGAGGGTTGAAGCCAGCCAGCCCGCCGCGCACCGCCGCCTCCGCCACCGCCGCGTACAGCGCGTCCGCAGCCACGCCCGCCGTCGCATACGCCCACACCGTGTTGGCCAGGTTCTGAGGGTTGAAGCCAGCCAGCCCGCCGCGCACCGCCGCCTCCGCCACCGCCGCGTACAGCGCGTCCGCAGCCACGCCCGCCGTCGCATACGCCCACACCGTGTTGGCCAGATTCTGAGGGTTGAAGCCAGCCAGCCCGCCGCGCACCGCCGCCTCCGCCACCGCTACGAACAACGGGTGCACCACCCTCGCCTGCAGGCCGCTTTTTGCAACGCCGTGAGACACGTTGGCCAGCTCGCGTGCTCGGCACGAAGAAACCAGGTCGAGCGTGCGCTGCACCAGCTGCTCAAGCCGCCCCTCGTGCCGCCGCTCGATGCGCTGCTTGCCCAGTTTGTTCCACAGGTTCGCAGCGTGGATGTGGTTCAGGCTCGCGCTGTGGGCAGCAAAGAGCGTGAGCAGCTCGTCGGCGCCGCTGGCATGCGAGATACGGCCGCTGAGCTGCTTAGCATCGAGCTGACCTCCGGCAGCAGAGGTGTGCCTCTCGTCGCGCGATCCCGCACCACGCATCGGCGGACTCAACCGGCGGTCGCTGTGCTGAGGCTGCCCCTCGCCGCGGCGGTCGCGCCGGTCATGGTCGCGCCTGGGATCGTGGGACCGATCATCGCGCCGATCGTACAAGTCGCGCTCGCGCTCGCCTATGCTTGGTCGGTCGTTGCAGCCGCGCCGCTCAACGTGCCGCCCGTCATGATGCGGCCGTCGCTCGCCTCGCAATGGCTCGTCGCGCCAGCGCTCAGCTGCGTGTGGCTCAGCGTGCCATCGCTGCTCGCGGCCACTGCACCAAGAGGCGTTGTAGCCGCGCCGCTCGTCATGCCGCCCGTCATGGTGCGGCTCGCCTTGCCAACGCTCGTTGCGCCGTCGCAGCTCATCCCGCCGCGGCTCATCGCGCGATCGCGACCGCCGTCGCGGCTCGCCCCGCCATCGCCGCTCTTCGCGTCCGTACTCGGCGCGCCGTTGCTCAACACGCGAGCGACGCTCCTCGCCGCGGTAGGACATTTGTGACACGAGCGAGATAGAGCTCTAGACTGAACCCGGGTACGCCGACGAGCCGCGGATGTTGGTCAACTTCGGCGTCTGTTCACGCGTATCCTTCCCGAGGCTGTGAGTGTGTGTGTGTGTGTGTCACTCACCCGAGGCTGTTCCCTCACTACTTTGTTTGTCTACTTTCGCGCTCGACGACGTTTCAAATTATTTTATTTACGAGGTGTCCCGAGAACGGCGGCATGCCCCGAGAACGGCGGCATTTGGCGGGGGGAACCAGGGAAGGTTCGGGTTAGATTAAGGCGTACGGCACTACGCTACTCCCCACCCACCCCACCCCCACCCTCTTACTTAGTGCCCCGCGTCTTCCGGCGGATCATCTTCTTGCACCAGTTGTACGATACGAGCGAGCGCAGCCGCGCAGAGGGGTAGCCGCAAGCAGAGCAGACCTTCTTCTGGATATGGAAGGAGGTCCTGCCGCAGCGGCGGCAGCGCGTGTGCGTCTTCTGGATCTGCTTCTTCAGCGCGTTCTTAGTGCCCATCGCTGCAGCTCAGGGAGGCGGCGAGACGCGCCGCGTGAAGCTGCTGAGGCGACGAGAGGCCAAGAAACAAAAAAATACGGTGGCAGCTCGTCTGTCGCCGCCTCCGAGAGCTCCAAGTGAAGCTGAGGCACGGAGTCGTTCACGCCCACGCGGCGTGAAGGCGCGAGCGAAGCTAAGGTGAGAGGCTTGACCTCATCAGTTTTGCCACGGAGCTGAGAGGCGATGGAGGCTCCCTTCCCCGGGTGCCCCGAGCTGTCCGCGTGGCACGCGCACTCGCTGCTGGCGAACCAGGCGCCGGATCGGCGCCAAGCCCTGAAGCGCTCGTCTAGCGGCGGGGACGACGATGGGGCCGCCAAACGGTCGAGAAACCGGGCAGAGGTCAGCCCGCCCCCGCCCTCCTTGCGGCGGCCACATCCGTTGCCCCCCGCCCCCTCCCCCTCCCATCTTACCCCGTCCGTCCTCTTCGTGGAGAGCTCGGCAGTCATCATGGCCTGTGGCATAGAGAACAGAACGCAACTCCTCTGGCCACCGCTCATCATCACCATCTGGTCCTGCGGCAGGAGCGCCTATCATGGACAATCGGCAACAACGGCGTGCCCCCTCACAACCATCCGCACCGCGACATGTACGATAACCTCCGCGCCCTCTCGTGAGCTCTTCGGCCGGCGCGGCACCGTGTGCTCGCGTCCAGGGAGGGTGCCGCTGCCCGAACGAGTGGTCAGGAACCTGCAGTGCCCTCCCAGTCGCGTCCCCTTTCGCCCCTCCCGCCCCCCCCGCCCCCCCTGCCCCTGCCGTCCCCCCCGCCCCCCCTGCCCCTCCCTCGCCATGAGTGGCTTGGCGCCGCTCGGACGGGGAGCGGAGCAGAGCCGGGGCACTTGCTGCACAGCATACTCACCCCTCCATGTCCTCTGCCTGGCACCCCACTGCCTGTTTTTATTGCACGCGCATGAGCTCAGCCGGTCAGCGTTTACTGTATTGTCATGTAATTTTATTGAAGTCGAAACCTGGCACAGTGGGAGGTGACCCTCAAGCGCTTCGCCCCCTCCGCGGAGGCGGTCGCTCGGGTCGGCTCTCGCCCTCGCGCCTCATTTGCTCATAGAGTACAGAGTCACTCCACACAGTCACACGGCAACGCATCCGGATGCGGATCCGGCCCGCCGAGCCTGAGATGTGAGAGCGCAGCGGGCGAGCGGGCGCGGGGGCACGCACGCGCCACGCCGAGCCCGAGGACACAAGTTGCGGCTCACGAGAGTACCGGCGCCGAAGTCAGCATCTTGTGCGCTCGCTGGGCATGCGGCCGCGGCAGCCCCGCTTTTTCCGGCCGGGTGGGGCACGGCAGCTTCGCCGCCGCCTGCCGCCGAAGGTGCCGAACGAGCGCCTGCGACATATCCGGGAGCGCGTCATGGTTGCTGCGGCAGCGACCGGAGATTGGCGGGGCGATCGCCTCGAGCGGCGTGGCCCCCAGCGCTGGTGCGAAGCTCTCGCCGCCGTGGCGAGGCGGCTTCTGCGATTGAGCGTGGCTCTCCTCGTCCCAACCGCCTCTGCGGCCCCACGGTTCGGCCTGCGAACGCTCTCGTCGCTCCGGCAGAGGCGCCGGCGCCGCAACCGGCTCCGCAAGCACCGGCGCAAGCCTCCACGATTCGGGCGTCGGCAGCTGTCCGCCGCCACAGCCGCTCTCCGAGCTCGGCGTCGGCCGGAGGCTCATCATCTCAGCGTGCATGCTGCGGGTCTCCGACACGAGCACTGCCACCTAAGGGTGAGGTAGCAAGAGATGACGTCAAACCCCAATACCGAGTCAGGGGAGGGGGAGGCTTTGCCGCCGCCTGCTTGCGTAGATCCAGCTCCTCCCGCAGCACCGCCATCTCCCGCCGCAAATCCGCGAGGAAGGCGAGAGCCGTCTCGTCCACCGCCGCCCGCGAGGAGGAGAGGGACGGTGCGGCGCCCGGAGAAGGGGAGGCGGCGCCCGAGGAAGACGCCAAGTCAGACACACACCCGGACGGAGGGCTCGCCTCAGCAGGGAGCGCCTTCCCACATGCGGCCGGCACGCCGCCGCTGCCGCCGACAGGCCCTGCCGGTAATTCTTGCATAGAGGTACCAGCGGAGCGAGCGACTTGGCTCGCCACACCACTCGGCGGTGCGCCGAGTGCTGCTGCTGCTGCTGCTGCCATGGAGTCTCGCCTCTGTGACTCTGCTGCCGCTGCGGGCGCGCAGACCCTCGAAGGCTCCTGCCCCTGGGGCGGCCGAAGCTGCTGCGAGCTACTCGCCCGCCGCAGCGTCGAGCGCGTCGCCGATCGCTGTTGCTGCTGTGTCTGCTGCAGCTGCTGCCATTGCATCTGCATCTGTTGCCATTGCTGCTGCTGCTGCTGCTGCCATTGCTGCTGCTGGTGACCGCTCGACAGCTGATCCACTAGCGACGGCACCGGCAGGGTCGCGGGATCCGGACCGCTCATCGGCCTCTGCTGCACCTCGCCCACGGAGCGCGAGAGGCTCGAAATCTCCTCGAGAGCGGCATTCATCAGCGGCTCGCCCTGCGCGGCCCACTGCCGGGCCGCCTCAAGGCGTGACGGGCGAGCCAGTGGTGATGAGGCCTCGGGCTCCGAGACGCCGCCGCTCGAGTTGCATCCGTGCCGCGCGAGATCGAGGCGCGACGGGCGCGACGCCGGCGCGATCCGCCCGGGTTCTGAGTGGAGATCGTCATCCCTCATCCCCGGTGGCAGCCTGGCGCCGGGCCAGCTCACCGGCGCAAAGGTCCGGTGCGCAGAGTACAGACCACCCGCCGGTTTGCGACGCGTCCCCGCCGCTTGCTGCTGATCAGGCTGACTGCGCACCGTCCGCACTGGCGACGCCACTGTGCGTGAGGCACTGCCTGTGCCCCTCATCCGGTTTGCTACCTTTGCCAATGTTGACGGTTGGGCGTTTGGAGGCGGCGGTGGGCGGTGCTGCTGCCCCTCCCTCCTCGCGTACTGAGGCCGAAGCGCCCTGCGCGGGTCGTGTGCAAGCCCCTGCGTCCGCGACAGGAGGTACGAGGAGATGCTGTCTGGCCGGAGGCTGCCGAGGGCGTCGATGGCAGCTTGGCGGACGGCCGTGCCCACCGCGTCGCTCTCGTCTTCGAGCGCATCGATGAGCTCGATGGCATGGCTGCGGAGGACGTGCGGGTCGAGTGCGGCGAGGCAGAGGACGGCCGCCTCACGCACGTACCTGCATCCAGCATGACGCGTGCGCAAGTCACACTTCACTTGGCTGGTTGTGCATGTGCACTTGTGGCAGATGAGAGGAAGCGTGTTGGACCCGTGGAGTGGAGCGCGCGCACCAGACGCCGTCGGCGAGCAGCTCTGAAAGCTGAGGCGCCACCGGCGCGAGGGCGGCCGGGGGGCAAGCGGCGAGGACGTCAAGGACCACGAGGCGGACGCCGGGGTCCTGATGCTTGAGCCGGAGGGAGAGAGCCTTGGCCTGCAGCTCGAGCGCCGCCGCGTCCTGCTTCAATTCACTCGCAGCGCGCCTAGACGCGCCGTTGGATGTGTGACGTTTGTGCATCAACAACAGCAGCTGCGGGAGCGCAGTCGAGGTGTTCGCGCGCGCCAGCGGGTCCGCACGTCCTCCGACTCGAGCGCAACGGTGAGCGCCTAAACCAATCGTAGCACGCTCTTGGGTGCGCGCCTCGTCCGCCGACTCGAGCGCCGCTGAAAACACCTGAGGCGAGGCGCGCTGAAGCTCCTCGACAAGCCTTGCCACCTCCTCCGCCGTCACAGCGTGATCGCCGTCGCCCTCGTACTGGGAAAGCACCTTGTCCGTCGCGCGGCGCGTAACCGTAAAGCCGAGCTGTCGGTCCACCAGCATGAAGGTGCGCCGCAGGTCGCGCGCCCGGAGGACGCCCGAGCACTCCACATCGACGGCCTGGGTGATAGGGGTGGGGAGAGAGATGATGCAAGAGGGGAAAAGGGGCAGCCGGGCAAACGGCAGCGACTTACGGGTGGCAACAGGGCGTCTCACGAGTCTCTTGGGCGGAATGGCAACCGCCATCACGGCGGTGGTTCAAGGCAGGCGTCTAGGAGCGTCATGTCGACGACGTAGTACCTGGAAGGCACGCTGGACGACGAGAGGTATCCGCGGGTGCTGGTACCAGGAGGGCTTGGGCTTGGGCTTGGTCTTGGCAAGGACGCGCCTAGAGGCACATGCAGAGGTTGACACCTAGAGATCAGAACCACTCTCGCGCCGCGGAGGCGCGCCTCAGCTCCGCCACGAAAGCGCAAAACTCCTCCAAGTCGAGCGTCTGGCTGTTGTCCTCGTCGAACGCCTCCAGCGCACGCGCCGCAGCCTCCTCGGTGACCGCCAGCCGGAGCTCCTTCCCGATGCGCTCGAGGCACCTGCGGCAGTGATGCCACCCACGTAAGAAGATATCGCGCAGCCAACGACCCGCCGCTGAGCTGGAATGTGGAAACACCGCCGCAGCTCCGCCACATCGACGGAGCCGTTGCCTGCGCACAACGCAGTCGGGCGTGCGATGTCCCGCTTGCGTAATCGGGTGCTACTGACGCGCCGTCGGAGCGCGCGGACGCACTTTGGGGGACCTGGGTGGGAGTGCCCGCGGTTTCTTGCTGCGCACCGTCCTTGTCGACTGCCGCGAAGGCCCGCCTCACCTCGGGCGGAATCTTTGACTCGAGCTCCGGTTCCGGTGCCGGTGCCTCCTCGCCCCCGTTGCCGGTGCCTGTTTCTGGGCTTGCGATCGATACGTTCTTCGCCGGCTTGGCCTTCTTTGGTGTACCGGCCGCTGCCGCAGCAGTGGGCGCCGCCAGCGTCGTAGCCATTGGCCGCCCGTCGGGGCCGATGCTCTGCTTCGCTGCCGACGGGGACGCCGCCGCCTTATGGGCGGCATTTTGCTCGGCCTGCGATGCCTGCTTGGCCGGGGCGGGAGAGCTGCCTGCTGAGGCCGCTTTCGCCGCGCTTGGCAGAGCCTTTGCCTTGTCTGCCTTCTCGGCGCTTGGCGCATTGGTACTCTGGGCATTGGCGGCGGGCGGAAGAGGAGCAAAGAGGTCCGTGGCGTCAAAGTCCGAGAAGTCCGACTCGCCCGATCCTCGGTCCTTCTTCTTGTCCCGCTTCTTTTTCTTCTTCTTCTTCTTGGCTGCCTTTTCCGCCGGCGGCTGCTGCGGAGGCGGCGGAGGCGGCGGCGGTGCATCTGGGTCGAGGTCGAACTCCATGCTGGTGTCGCCATCGCCGAAGAGGTCGAAAACGTCAAAGTCGTCATCCATCGGCCGACGCGTCGTCGTCGCGCACGGCGGCTGGTCTGAGCCGGCACACCGCGTGGCGCGGCGCCGAGGCGTAACCGCTGCTTTCAGATGAAAAATTCGCGGCGCCCTACACCAAGAGCCTTGCCCGCCAAAAGAAAGCCGAAAGCCAATTCCGCTTGGGCTCTCGGGGAGGCCTGCGGGCGGCTTTCTCTCGAGGTCTCCAGATACACAGAGCGGCCAAGAAGAAAATTGAAGAAGACGACCCGCAACCCAAGGCACCAAGAGCGATTTGGGCTCGGCAGCTTGTCAGCCCTCATTTTCCCAAGAGCCCGACAGCAAGAGCCCGAACCCCGAACGAAACAACACGCAATCCAGATGCCGCCCAGCCTGCTGTGCCAACCTCCTCAGCACCGCCCGGCCGTGTTGCGGTCGACGCTGCTGCGACTGGCGCTGCGCTGCGGGCGAGTGCCTGCGAATAACCTCGGCAAGGGCATGCTCGTGCCAGGCAGCGAGGTGTCGCGGCAGGCTGACCGAATTTTCCGTGTGCTGTCGGTGGGACACGTCAAGCCCGGCAAGGGCGGCGCCTTTGTCCAGGCCAAGCTCAAGTGCGTGCTGGACGGCACGATCGTGCCTCATAAGTTCCGCTCGGCCGAGACGGTGGAGACAGTCGACCTCGACCCGGCGCGCCTCCCTGACCGCGCTGCACGCCGCCGGCATCACTCCACGTCGCCTGCGCTCGCCGCACCGCTCAGTGCCGGGCGCTTGCGCGCGACCACAGGCGGAGGACTACTCCCTGCTCTACACTGATGGTGGATTGGTGCACTTGATGCACGGCGAAACGTTTGAGCAGATCGAGGTGCCGAGAGAGGCCTTTGGCGAGCTGGCGGTCTGGCTGCGTGACGGGATGAGTGTGCGCGTCGCCAGCCGACAAGGTCCCACTCCGCTGCCGCCCATCCGTCGGTCCACTCTGCCTTCGCGCCCGTGCCTCTCCATACCCGCGTCGCCACGCCCACAGCACGCCATAACTCCACAACACGGCATGGCCTCGCAGCACGCGTCCGATGCGCTTGCAGGCGTGCCGCTGCTCTTCACGCTGCCGCCCCGCGCGGCATACGAGGTTGTCGAGACGCGGCTCGGCAGCAGAGAGGGCAAGACCGACGCGTCGAAGCCGGCGGCGAGCTTCTCCTGCTGGGAATGGCCTGCCGCAAGCACGCAGATGCGGCAATCTGACCGCACGGCACCCGCTTCGGCAGGTGCTCTCCAACGGCGAGGCGCTGCGCGTGCCGCACTTTGTGACCGTGGGCGACCGCATCCTCGTCAATACGGAGGACGGCACCTATTACGGTAAGGCGGGGCCAGATGAGGGATGACGGCGAGGCCTGGTCACGTCTTTGCTCTGGGATTCCGTGATTAACACCGTGATAACGAAACCCCGCGTTTCTTGTGTCACGTGTGTGTTAATATCGACGGCCCACGCGGCCGTTTGGGCGCTGGCCTGTGTTTGGGGTTTGGCGGCCCCATCGTCCCCCCCTCGCCGCTGGACCGTGGACGAGCGCTTCAGGGCTTGGCGCCGAGGGCCGGCGCCTGGCTCGCCAGCAGCGAGTGCGCGTGCCACGCGGACAGCTCGGGGCACCCGGGGAAGGGAGCCTCCATCGCCTCTCAGCTCCGTGGCAAAACTGATGAGGTCAAGCCTCTCACCTTAGCTTCGCTCGCGCCTTCACGCCGCGTGGGCGTGAACGACTCCGTGCCTCAGCTTCACTCACACACACACACACACTTCACTTGGAGCTCTCGGAGGCGGCGACAGACGAGCTGCCGCCGTCTTTTTTTGTTTCTTGGCCTCTCGTCGCCTCAAGCTTCACGCGGCGCGTCTCGCCGCCTCCCTGAGCTGCAGCGATGGGCACTAAGAACGCGCTGAAGAAGCAGATCCAGAAGACGCACACGCGCTGCCGCCGCTGCGGCAGGACCTCCTTCCATATCCAGAAGAAGGTCTGCTCTGCTTGCGGCTACCCCTCTGCGCGGCTGCGCTCGTACAACTGGTGCAAGAAGATGATCCGCCGGAAGACGCGGGGCACTGGACGTATGCGGTATGAGAAGGATCTGCCTCGCAAGGCCAAGAACGGCTTCCGCGAGCAGGTTCGCTCGCCCCTAGCCTGCGGCGAGACGGCCAGCGCGAGTGGGCGCTGCGTGCTCTGCGCCAATCAGAGACTGCTGCTGCGCGGCTGCCGCCGCCGCACACCCTTCGTCCGTGCCGCCACTCCGCCGCCGCCGCCGCTGCCGTTATCGCCTCGCGCTCACTAACCCTCGCCTGTTGCGTGGCCTGTTGCTGCGCGCTTTACGCTGCCTTCGCCGCCCCTCCCCCCCACGGGAAGACGATCTGAGCGCCCCCCCACCCTCCCCCCCCTGCTCGCAGACCCAGGCGCCCAGCCGGAAGAAGAAGGCGGCGTGAGGCGCAGGCAGAGCGGCTGCGGCGGCCCGACGGCGGGCGCTCGCGGCTTGATGTTGTGCGCATGCGTCTCCCGTCTCCTTCCTCTTTGTTGTGCCCTCTTCGATCTGGACCCGCGCGTCCGAGCCCGTACGCGCGCGACGCCCCGCCCTCGCCCCTCTTCGATGTCTGTCCGCGGCCCGTGCTGCGCCGCGGCGGGAGGGGGGAGGGGCGGGCCTCGTCGTCGCTCGCGAAAGCGCTGCGTAACTGTGCAGCCGAGAGCCGTGGTCCGGGGGCTCGAGTATCACGTTTCATCTTCTGTCACGTTAGTCCGTTTGGGGGAAACAGAGGCTGGCACATGACCTTTGGAGCTAGTGACGGCACGCTGACAAGACCCACAGGCCCCGGTGGGCGGGGGGGGGGGGGACGGGTGTTCAGAGAGATGGTTCACCTCGGTGCTCGGACCTCGGTGGGTATCTCTGAGTCACAACGCTGACCTGAGGCGGCCTCTGTGCAGACCTGGTCAGAGCAGAGGTGCTGGCTGCTGCTCTGACAGTGTCACTGACTCCCGCCGCCTCCCGGGCCCCCGCAGTCCGACCCGCAGTGTCCCCCTCTCGAGCGCCTGGCCCAATCTGAAAAGCGCCGGAGCCCAATCTGGCGTCTCCGCTGGCGCCGCCCCCTCCCAATATATGCGCGCGTTCCCGCCTCGGTCACGCCGGCGGGTCGTCGTACCACTTCAAAAAGCGCTGCCGCACCGCCTCCCTCCACGCCTCCTTTCGCGACCGAACCGAGGAGGGCCTGTGCGAGGGAGAGTGGGGGATGGGAGGCTGGGTTGAAAGGCGCGGAAGGCGTGTCCAAGAGGGGAAGGGGCGGGGCTGGGGGGCGGGGGGGCGATGGCGTAGATTGTGGGAGACGAAAGCTTTGGGCAGGGCGGCCAGGCAGGGCCAGGGCAGGGCGGCAGGGCGGAGGCTGGGGCTGTGCAGGCGAGTCGCGCGCGCCGTGGCGGCGGCGGCGGCGGCTTTGCCGGCCGGACGGCGTCGTACTCTGCGTACTCCTCCGAGGCGTGCCACGCCTGCAGCCCGAACACAACGCGATTGGGATGTGCGGGGTACGCGGCGCGGAGCGCCGCCGGCCGCGCGAGCAGTGCGCACCGCCATGTCTGGCATCCTGCTCACGAGATGCTGGGCGAGGGCGGCGTCGAGGGTGTGCGAGTACCGCTTCTGAAGCAGCAGCAGCAGCGTCCGACTGCGGCAGGGAGAGACCGGCGCCGGTTCCGGCGAGGGCGGGGACGCGGCAGCGCGGCGAGGGAGCGCGGCGAGGGTGGATGTAGTCCGAGGGCTTGGGAGAGGGGGGGGGGGGGGAGCGGGCTGGGCGAAGGTAGGTGGGTCTAGCCAAGCTGTGTCTGGGGGACGTACCGGGAGGAGAGGGGGCGGAAAGTATCTCGGATCTCGCAAGGGCCTCGGGACGGTCTCGGAGCGGTCTCGGAGCTCTCCGCCTGCGCAGCCCCTTTGGATGGAGCTCCAGCAGCGTGGCAATGGCGTCGCGCAGCTGGCGGAAGGCGGCCGCGCCGGCGGGCGTGGCCTCGTCGTAGTCCGAGGCGGTTCGCGGCGACCGCTTCAGCCGCGGGTAGTAGGCCGGGTACACGAACTTCGCATCGACCTTGCGCGCGTACACCCCGGCGCCGTCGGGCGCAAACATCACGTCGGGCATGCGGCGGGCGAGGGCGCGGACGAACTTGGCCTCGCCGGCGCGGTCGGCGCCGACCCGGACCCCAAACTCCCTCCGCATCGCCTCGAGGTACTCGTCCCGCCGCAGGCCCATCGGGTGCGGCGCGAGCAGCGACCGCGTCGCGGCCCTGACATCGTTGAGGCGCTCGCTCCCGCCGGAGCTGGCCTCGTCGACGCTGGCCAGGCTCAGCTCGGGGAGGCGCGCCTGCCGGTAGAAGCCGACGGACAGCGACCGCGCCGGGACGACGAGAGGCGAGCAGGCCCTAGAGAGCAGCGCCAACCTGCCTCGGGCGCTTGCCATTATGCCGACCAAGAAGAAATCGCGGCAAACCAAAACAAAGAATCGAGATCTCGGCCCTGCTGGCTTGGACCTGGTTGAACGCCGACTCACACCGCACTGGGCAGACGACACAGGTACGGCATCTTCAGCTGCAGCACGCCCTCGCCGTGGCGAAAGATGATCCGCAAAGTATGGTGCCTCCTTGCCGGTCTGCTGCCGATGGTGTCTCCTTGCCGGTCTGCTGCCGACTGCGGCTGCCCTTCGCCTGCGGAAAACCCAGATACGTGCCGTGGCTCCTGCCCGGGAGACGCCCGTGCAGCACGCTGCATGTGTGGCCTGGGCTGGGCCGGAAACAACTGCAGCCAGCTCAGGAAGTGCTTGAACGCGAAAACCCCACGCGTTTGTCGACGTGCCGTGCAAGCGGCTGCAGCCGGGAAGCCGCCGCCCAGCACTCTCCTTCTCGAAGCAAGCGGTCCGATGAGCGAAAGCTTCAAGCGGTGGAACATACGCCACGACCGGCTACCGTCGTGTACATGGGACACATGCTTCAACAGGACACGCTGTGGGCGGTGTGGCGTGGACGACGGTGGCCGCGTTCTGCCGCTGCGGGTCCACCTCCTCCCACACATCGAAAAGAAGGGGGTTTACGAGGATTACCTCCGCACACTGAGAGAAGTGGAGCTTGTTGGCCGGGAAGGCGACGCATGCATTAGCATCGGCACCTTCGATATGCTCAACGGGAAAGATCCAAACGTCTCCGATACGATGAACAAAATCTACGTGCTCGCGAATGGGGATTTTACGGTCGGCGAACGCTTGCGCGGCGTGAAAAGCGTCACGCAAGAGGGCTCTCGCGGCAAATCGACGGCCGCTCTTGGACGCGCGATGGTGCGATCCGCCGCTTCCATATTCCTCCGCCACGCCGATGCCATCTCACAGAACCCTGACCCTGACCCAGCCCCTGACCCTGTGCTGACCCTGGCCAAACAGGTTCTCACCGACAACTGGGTTCGCCAGGAGTTCCGAGCTGGCTTTGACCTTTCTTGGCCTATGACCGTCAGCACGCGTGCAGTGGGCTTGGCCACATTGCCCGCCGCGTCGCGCCGTTTCTTTCTCACGTTCGCCGGAAGCGTCTACGGCGGAGACAAAAACGAGCGTGGCGGGTATCGCATTCTGCTAGCTCGCCTGCACGACCCCGCAAGGGGGGTGCAGGTCGTCTACCGCTGCAAGTTTAGGAATCTGCGCATGATCTCCCCTGCCCTGTGCGCCGAGGGAGATGAGCGCTGGCGTGCAGCCGCGCGTGCGTCGATCTCCTACGACGATCTCCTCAACTCCACCTTCTGTCTCGTGCCGGGAGGCTACCACCCGGGCTCTGGCAGGCTGGCCGAGGTGCTGAGCGCAGGGTGCATCCCGGTGCTGGTGGGCGACGACTACGTGCTCCCGTTCAACGCAGTCCTCGACTGGTCCTCCCTCGCCTTCACCGTCTGTGCGACGTGCGTGGACGACATCCTGCCTGGGCTACGCGCGATGCCGCCGGACGAAGTCGAGGCCATGCGCCGCAACGTCGTGAGAGCCTACCGGCTCTACTTTACCAACCAGACCGCCAGGTGGAGGGGCATCATTTCGACGCTCTCCCGCCGCGTCCGCTGTCTGGCTGCTGAATAAATTAGAGAGAAGAGAGCTCCGGGCACCGGGCGGCAAACAAACGCAGGACAGGTCTCAGGTGTCCCGGGGTGTGTCATGTGTTCATGGCAAAATGGGTCAATGACGTGAATGGTGCTGTACATATCTGTTTATTTTATACCCGTTTTCTCGAACCCAGCCACCCAAAAGGTCTCAACCGAGACCAATGTCAGCCGACTCGCACGTCGCAGCGTCAAGAACGGCCCAAAACGGGGCGCGGCGTCGGAGAGATGAACGACGAGGACGGGCAGGCGCTCACCAGCTTTGCCGGCACACGCTCGTGCAGCCACTTTGCCGCCCTCGCCATCACCATCGCCGACATTTGTCCACACCAACAAGCGCGGCTTAGAGCTGACCCCTCCCCAACAAGCGAACGCAGGAAAGTCCGAGACCGACCACGAGCTGCTGGCCAAGGAAGTGCCGAATGCCGTCAAGATGGCGCGCTACGAGCGCTCGCTCTGGGTGGACGAGGCGGCGAAGCTGGCAGCCTCCAAGCACAGCGTCAAGCTCCCAGAGGTAGTGGCCAACGAGATGATCCGCGACGAGAAAGAGCTGGGACCCCTCAAGCTCATCGGCTGGCGCAACATCGGCCGCGTCGACGAGACCAAGATCGGCGAGGGCTGCGTCTCGCTATCGCAGCTCGGAGACGGCAATCACCGGCTCCACTTCGCGATGAAGGCACATTTCATCGAGTTTCAACCCTCCCGCCCTCACCGGGCGCGCCTCACCCTCCCGCCTTCACCGCGCAAAACAGGGCGAGGGGGCTTCGCTCAGGTGCCCGAGTCGGCCTACCAGGTCGAGTTCGAGCCCTCCTGCCTGCAGGCTGTGCTCTGCTGCAAGGGGCGCGCCTCGTCGCAGAGCTGGAGCACAAGCACCGCGCCGAGCGCGAGAGCGAGGCGGTCTACGCGGTGCTCAAGATCGCGGGCAACGTCTTCAGCGCCGACGCCACCTTCGAGGACGCGGCCAAGACGGTCGGCAAGCTGAGCGCCTCGAGCGCCAGCGCGGAGGACGTCGAGCCGCCCGACTGCTGCTGCTGCCACTGGAACCTCTGCCCGTGCTGCCCGATCTTGTGCTGCGAGATCCCGCGCGCGACCGACCCGAGCGGCTCTACCCCTCCCCCCTCCCCCTAAGGCCGCGCGTGGATGCCACCGCTTACAGGTGTTGTGCGCTGCCGTGCTGCGACAAGGGGAGCGAGGAGGCGCTCTCATATGAGTGGAAGCAGTCGCTCTGCTTCGAGCAGTCCATCATGCGTGCGCTCGAGCGGTACGAGGAGGTGGAAGAGGTGCAACAGGTCGACACCGCCTTGTACCAGCTCGAGAGCTTCAAGCCGCTCGCCAAGCCCGTGCCGGCCACGCGCACCACCCTCGCCTACTCGCTGCACTCGGTCTACCTCGTCCACCGCGCGCCGGCCACCAAGAATGTCACGCTCGCGCAGCTGGTGGTCGACCCGTGCGAGCCCGTGTCCAAGGCGGGCTCTGGCTGCGCTCGCCCGCCCCCAGCTCTCGACCGCAAGCGCACACGCACCCCCTTCCTGGTCTGTCTCAGGTGGTGGCGGTGGGTTTCGAAGCTCGAGAGTATCTGCGAGCCGCCCCCCGAGCACCTCGGCCTTGCAAACGTCTCCGCCTGATCGTGGCAGTCGCTGGGCCACTTCTTCTATTTCGGCTCCCCGCCCAAGGGCAGCGCATCGACAGGCAGGAGGGCGGCCTCGGCGGCGCGGGAGGACTGATGGGCAAGTTTGGCGGCCTCTCGCCGAGCGGCATGCTCTCGGACGGGCTGGCGGGGAAGGTGAGCCTGGCCGCTCTGAAGGACAAGATGAGCCTCGCCTCCCTCTTCGGCATGCTACCGAGCCCGGGTGGCTTCGCGCCCTGCGTCGCTTGCGGCGACACGGACGACGGGCGCAAGAAGTGCGAACCGCCCACACACCCATACGCGCGCACCATTCAGACACACTTTGACCAGACTTTGACCACCGACCCACTCTTCAGGTGCATCTTCAAGTTCGACCTGCCGTGCGGCGGCTTCCCCTTCGTCGTCGGCAAGCCGCCTGCGGACAACCAGCAGGCACGCAAGTACCCGGGCTTCTAGCGCTGCCCACTTTACGTGCCGTCGAGCCCGCGCTTTCCATGTGCTGCAGGGGGCTGGAAGCCGCTTCCGGGCTTCGATCTAGGCCGCCCTCAATCGTTGTGGCTGGAGCTCCAACCCCTGCCCCTCTCTCCGAGCGTGCGGCCCGCGACCCGCACACCCACCCACATCAGCCACGTGTCGGTGCGAGGGGCCCATGCCATCAGTTCATTAGGTACACTCCGTCGTGTGTCACTTCTCACGAGCGAGCAGCTGTCTTCCTCTGGCTGCTCCCCGTCGGGCTTTTGTTAATATGACACTATTCGATCATGGAGAGGCACGCCCCTCGCTCGTCGCTGGGCGCCAAACTGCAAACACTTCGCCGCATTCCACCGTCGCGCCGATCCGACATCCGTGTCGGGGTGCGAACGGAGGGCCCAACCCCCAACTTGAGTACACAACCTACAACTTTGAGAATCGTGTGTGTGCGCACCCTTTCCCCCACACCTTTTTTGGTACGTGCAAAAACCTGGAACTGTAACTGCCTCGTGTGGGATCGGTTACGGGTTAGCGCTCCACAGGACACCACAGCGAGATGCGGAGAACCTGTTATTTTGTGTCACGCGCCGCCAAACTCACGCTCCTGCAGCCTGCGCGCATAGATGGTGGCGCCCACTGCGACCGACTCCTCCGGCCGCGCGGGCCGCAGCGGCGCGCGGCCGAGCGCGCGGCCGACGCGCTCGCCGACGGCGTCGAGCCGCGCCGCGCCGCCCGCGAGCAGCAGCTGGTCCACCCCTATGGGCGTCGGATACACGTGAGGCATATCTCGGGTACACCTCTCGGGTACACCTTGGGCACACCTCGGGCATATCTCGGGCATATCTCGGGTACCAATGCGTGTGTTCGACTACATATCGGCTCTCTCTCGGCGGTCGCTCCTTGAGGGGCGGGCGACGCGTCCGCCAGTGCGGCGGGCAGAGCGTCGATCGCTGCGGCCAGCGCCGGCTCGATAAGCCGCTCCAAGGCTGCGCGCGAGAGCGTCTGCTCGAGGTGCTTCGGGCCAGACGCGTCGGCGGTGATGAACGGGAGAGAGACCGGCACGCTCGGCGAGCTGCAGAGCGCGAGGATGGCCGCCTCTGACGCCTCGTGCAGCCGCACCAGAGCGAGGTGGTCAGCAGAAAGGTCGATCCCGTGCGCCTCCCGAAAGCCCCGCACCAGGTGCTCCACCAGAGCGCCGTCGAGCGACTCGCCGCCGACGCCGTGCTGCCGGTGCGAGGCCGCAACCTCCCACACCCAGCCTCCTCCGCCGCCCTCCGCCCCCTCTGGCCGCTTGGCGAGCACGGTGAGGGAGGAGGAGAGCCCGCTCATCTCGAGCACGCCCAGCGTCCCTACGCGAAGAAGAGCAGCATCAACGTTGGCAATAGGCTGGACTGACGAGTCATTGGTCAGATTACGAGCAGGCAACTCTTTCTGTGTAGCTAGTTCATTACTGTGAGAGTTGGAGGCATCGCCAACATTCAGTCGGCTGTGCCGACTCGTGCAAATCACTCAGCGGGACGCTGCGAGTGCAGTGGGCACAACTGAAGGCAGCTGAGTGCGTGCTGCTCCAGGGCTGGTCAAGAGACGCGAGGTGTCTGTCTTCCGCATCTGCGACGCGCTCCCGCCGACGCGAGCTCGTCGGGGAACTCGTCCTCCGCCGCGAGGGCCGCCGCGACGGCCGACGGGACCAGCTCCAACCGCTGCACCCCCGCGCGCCGCGCGACCGCCGCCATCGCCGCGCGCAGGGGCTCGTCGACCGGTGCCGGCACCTGCGAGGGTCGCGCGGCGGCGGCGGACGGGAGCAGCGGCGCTGGAGGCGCGGAGGGCGGCGCGGAGGGCGGCGCGGAGGGCGGCGGGGAGGGCGGCGGCGAGGGCGGCGGGGAGGGCGGCGGCGAGGGCGGCGCTGATGGTGGCGGCGCAAGCGGCGGCGGCGCAAGCGGCGGCGGCGTGCACGGGGGTGGGAGGGGACGTGCGGAGCGACCGCACCGCCTGCAACCGGCAGGGAGCGGCGGCGGCGGTGGGGGGCAGGGCGAGCGCACCCCCGCGACTGCGACTGTCACGCTGCGTCCCGCCACCCGCTCGGCAGACTCCTTGAGGGCGGCGAGCGTGCGCGCAGCCAGCTCCGCGGGCGGGTGCAGCACTCCGTGCACTCTAACCGCGGCGAGGCCTTGCTCGTCGGGCACCACGTCGAACGGCGTCGCCTTGGCAGAGTCAGCCGTGGCAGTGTGTGGCCCCGTGTCGGCTGGCAGTGTGTGGCCCCGTGTCGGCTCCCCGAGCCAATCGTGCGCAGCGCGTGTTTGCGCGTGTGCGTATCCCGCCGTCTGCTGTGCTAGGACGTGAGACGGACTCGCTGACCTTGGTGGCTGCGAGCAGCGCCTCCGTCTCTCGAGACTCAAACGCGCGCCCGAGCAGCAGTTGGTGGCCGTACACGGCCGTCGCGCGAGATGAGAAGAGGAGCTTCTTGGCGGTCAGGCCGACCAGCGCCTCGCCGTCGTCCGCAAACGCGACCACCGACGGCGTCACCCGCCCGCCGTTCTCATTCTCCACCACGCGCGGCGCTCCGCCCTCAAAGACGGCCGCGCAAGCGCCCGACCAGTCCTTGGAGCCCTCGCCGAGAGAGCAGCCCATCGCCTGGGCACGCACGGTGGACGGCTGTCGCCGCGACGAAGCGCCGCAGCACGCGGGGATGGGAGGGAAGGGAAGTGGTGGGCAGAGGCACGAAGCGTCTCGGAAGTGTCCCGGACCTCCGTCGTGAAGTACGAGGGCTGCTCAGCAGTCCGCCGCGGCGCAGGCTCGCCGCTGTCGGTGCGGCCGCGCGAGGGGTCCGGCTCTCGCTCGGGATCGCCGTCGGGCGAGCCATCGCCGCCGCCTCCTCTCCGCATCGCCTCCTGAAACTTTGGGTTCTGCGCCGCCTGCAGCAGCAGCCGCGTGCCATAGAGGACGCCGGCGACGCCGAGCCCGGCGAGCAGCGGACCAATCTGTGCCGGCGGCGTGCTTCGCAGCGCGCGCAAGCCCGCCACCGAGGGCGGCCGCAGGGTGTGCGGCCGACGTCGAGCCAGCATCGCGGCAAGTCCAGAATCGCAAAAAAGATTTTCGAACGCATCCCTCCCCTAATTGACGCTATTCTGACTGGGTTGTAACAAAGTTTGAACCACACGCGCGGCGCGAGGCCTTGCGCCCCATGCGGTACGGGGCCGTGAAACCCATCGCCTGGGGGTGCTAGGACACCGAGAGACATGATCCAGAAGTGCCAGGCACACCCACAGTGGTCAACACGAGAACGCCGAAATCGTGACCTCGGAACGCGGTCACGGCAAATCTGACTAATCTGTAACAACCGTTAATACGGATGGCTCACGCTGGCGCATGGCCTCGCCGCTGCTACCCTCCCGACCTCAGGTGAGCAGACAAGATCCCCTGAGCTGCCGGCGCTCTCTGATCGCCCGGATCGCAACTGCCGTGGCAAAACTGCGAGCTCCCGAGGACGTCTGGCGCCGAGTGCGTCTGGCACCGGGCACGGAAGCTCGCACTCGGCCGCACGCGATAGTGCTGCCGCGAGAGCGCCTGCCAGGTACGACATGTCTCGTGTAGACTCCTCCTGGGTCATGGTCGGTCATATGCAGGACGGCCAGAGTCGCCCACATCGCCTACGCGGTCCCGAGTGTGGTCAGGCTGATACACCGCGACTCAACGGTTGAGTGCGGCCAGCGCACACAAAAGTCGTCGACTGCGGCCTGGCGCGGTGATCATAGGTGCTGGAGACCAGGCAGTATGAGCCTGTAACTGGGCACGCATGAACTCGGTACCTACATTCGCAGAGGCCCGGCAAGGATGGGATCTAGTAGAGTGATTGCGCACTGAGACCGTGCTCCGTGGGTCGCTGGAATGACCTGAAAGGCATCCTCAATGCCGCTGCTCGACTCTCCAGTGTCACAGCCGATGCCTGTGACCTGGTCACCGCCGCACGCAGGTTGAGATCCGCGCCTCCTCGGGTGTGCCCTCATAGACAGCCTTCGGCGGCGCGTAGCGACGCGAGAGCCGCTCCTACACAGGCGTGTACGGTGAACCACCGACGGATAGAGCACAGATCTATGGTCACGCCGGCAGCCTCTGAGGTCGAGACGAGGCTGCCGGCGTCGCCGCTGCAGCTCTGGGCATCACCTGCACAAGCCAAGCAGACTTTGTTACAAAAGCGGAGGCGTGTCGACGCGCCGCGCGCTCACATACTTGGGCTCCCATCTCGTCGCGCGCGAGTCAAGGCCGAACCGACTAGCTGCCGCCGCGGCGGTTGTGGCTGGGCTGCAGGCAGGCCTGTGGCCGGCGCTCGGCAAGCTGCGGGCTGCGGTTGGCGCAGCGCTTGTTACAAATTCGGCGTGCCCAGTCAGATTTCTTTTGCGAGTCAGAATAGCGTCAATTAGGGGTAGCGGCGATCTGTAGCCAAGAGAGCCGCAAAGCCCAGAGACGGATTCGTGAGATCGCGTGAGATCGCGTGCACACATGTTCGTTCGTGGCCGAGAGCCACCAACGTTAGTCGTTAGCCTGTGGCTCACCCTCTGGCGGACTGCAGGTGAACGGCTTTAAGGTCGAGACGGTGGCGCGGGCCAGCGGGCTGCCCGAAGACATGTACATGTGCGGCACCGACGACCCGGAAGGACCCAGCCCCCCAATGACGTTCGTTGGCACCGATGACGAGAATTACGGCGGCAAAAACGGGGTGATTTTGGTTTTTGGTCATCCGTCAAAATATCTGAAGATCTGTCTATAGGATTCTCCCCAAACCTTGCTCAGCTGATCCAGCATGGGTCGTAGGCCAGGCCTGGGCAAAGAAACCAGTACCTCATCGGGCTTCCCTGAGCGTCACAGCTCGGTGATCGCGCCGGCCGGACACCACTGTAACGTCCGTTCCGGGCATTTGAACGCGACCTTCGGGGGCAAAGACATGGGCTCTATGGCTCAGACTGGACTCCTCTTGGTCCCTTCTGATGCCCTAGGCCACACCTGGGCCTTACCTGGGGCTCTAGGGGGCGGGCGGGGTTTGCCCCCCGAAACTGGCATGGGGGACCTTAACGACGACTACGCGGCCCAGCGGTCGATCTGCGCCTTCTCAGCGGTGGAGGGGATGTGTGCGGGGCGGTATGTGTGTTGGCGGTACGTGTGTGAACCGCGTGGGCGTGGTGCTGCAATGGTTTGACGAGTGCGACTCCCAGCGTCGACTTTGCGACCCCACGGAGCCTCTGCTGCTCCGGGGGGGGGGGGGTCTGCAGACCACCCGGCCGAACTTCAGAGTGGCGGTGCTCATCAAATACTGCTCAAACGCCCACGATGTTGTGGAGGGGTCATGTGCTGATGATCCTGGCCCGATTGGTTTGCTCAAAGGGCTTCTGGGCGGTCGCTGAGGCTCGTGCCCCGCACACCGGCCCGGAGCCTGGGTACACTAGACGAGGCTCCGGAATGGGAAGGGGCGGGGTGAGGAAGAGAGTGCATGTACTGAGAGGCTAGCATGCGCATTCTCATGCTGGGGGTGAGTACTGGTCACAATTAGTTTGTGCTATCGTTTGCAGCAAATTGCGCTGCAAATGCGCTGCCAACGAGATACTTTATGGATTTGGAGTGACAGTATGGATTCCGGGTGACACAGGTTGGGTCTAAGCGGCCCCTTCTTGCTCTCTTCCCACCCCGCTGTCGTGACCGTCTCCGCCCCACACCTCCATTTTGCCTTTAGGTATGCTTCGATCATTAGTTCGTCCGAGAGCTCCCTTTCCCAGTCCCAGCTCGGCTTCCACTCCAGCGGGTTATCACTTCGGCATCCCAGCCTCCTCAAAGTGTGCGCTAGGCTGCTCTCGACGGCCACCCTCGCTGGTTCCCCTTCCACCGCGCTGAGGGCCCGGTCCACTTGATCGATCAGCGCCGCCGCTGCATTGTGCATACGTGTATGCGTGTTCCATTCCCATCCCTCCTCTCTCCTTCAAGTCGTATATTTGTAGTCGTGGGATTCCTACCGAGTACCCTTTTGCGTTTAGGGCACTCGCCCTCACCTGTTCGATGCTCTCTCTGGCAATCTTCCCATGTGATGACCGTGGACCGGCGCCGTAGTACCCGATAATGCCGCTCAGTGCTAGCGCCATGTTGCGTCGGATCTGCTCTCCTGTCAAGTGCGGCAGGTTGCCTATGATCCAGCTTACTCTCTTGCAGTCCGCTACGCACCGCTCCCTCATTTCTGTCTGGCCCTCGCCGTTTGCCCACCCGGGCCTTAGCTCCGTTCCGAGATATTTATTTGTAGCTCTCGTCTCCCTTTATTTTATTCTTGGAGCAAGAGAACTGCGACGGATCGGTCTCACCCCACCTCGCGGGCACCCCACCTCGCGGGCCGATGTTCTGGCTCAGCGAGGTTGCTGCGGAGCACTCGCGGACCGGTCTTCTGGCCCAGCGAGGCCGCTGCGGGGCACCCGGCGGCTCGGGTCACTTCTCAGCGCAAACTCAGTCGAGCGGGCAGGAGGTAAGCAGGAGATAAGGTGTGTGTGTGTGTGCGCGTGGAAGGCGGGCGGCGCGGTACTGTTAAAGCGAAGGAGCGGCGGCACGGCGGCACGGCGATCGGCGATCCCTTTTCTCCCAGTACTGTACTTAGAGCTAAAAGTACGTAAAGTGCGCAGAATATAAGTTTTCGCGGACATTGGATTCCAGGGACGACTTTGACGTACGTTCACTGCCGCGAAGCCGAGAGCCCCCTCCCCGCCACATACATCTAAAATGTACCGTTCACCATGCACTCCGACTCGCACAGGTCTGGCGCCGAGCGAGGATGATGAACGCCAAGGAAGCCCCGCGCTACAAGGGATTCTTTAAGATCTTCTTCTTCTCCCTGCTGGCGATGGTTTTCGGGTTCCTCTGCGGGCTCGGTGCCCTGAAGGCAGACGCGCTGACCTCGTCGGTGCCTCCCCCCCGCTCCGCCGTACAAGGGCCCTGGAATCCCTGCTCTGGCGTTCCCCGAGAGCAGCCCACCTCAGAAGCTGGCCATCCTGCGTGCGCATGATCGGCGTGCGCGAGCCTTGTCGCCAAGCAGACCCCCCCCCCCCCTCCAGAGACGGGTCCTGCCCCGCAGCTGACCGTGACACTCTTGCCATGTTGCAAGCCCTTGCCCAGCAGCTGACAGCGACACTTATCTTTGCGTGTGCCTGATGCAAGGCCTTACCTGTCGAGTATACGATCGACAATGAACGGTGTGTCTGCGAGAGTTGCGAATTCTTGGCGACGCCGTAGAGCTGCTCGTCGAGGTCGGCAAGACGTCCGATGTGCTCGCGGATTACGGCGAGCGCGAGCGCTAGCTGGCTTGCTCCTGCGCGCAGACCTTTGAGACCAGAGGCGCAGCGCGATTTGGTCAACGGCTACAACTGGATGTCCTTGTGACTTGGCTGATGCTGCGCGGAGAATTGTTTTCTTTTGGGGGGCGGCGAAGGGGAGGGAGGGAGGGAGGGAGGGCAAGGGGGGGTCATATGAGAGAGCGTTTGTAAACTCTCGGGATACCAGTTTCGTGCCAGAGCCCACTGCGTACATAAAGAGAGATTTGTCAAGCGCAACAACTTCAACCTGCTGCTCCACGAGACGTTCGGCGGCGGCTTCTCGCCCACCGCCGTTCTCAAGCTGGCCGCCTCGCGCGCAAAGTCGCGCGCGGCAGCGTCGACCGCACGGCCTACTCGCCCAAGTACTCGCTCTCTTTTATGTCCCACCATGCAGAGCGCATCTCTCTCTCTGTTGTTCGAGTGCACCCCACTCACAGTTATTGTTATGGTGTTATGGCTCTCGGGGCATAGCAGCCCCATAACACCCATAACACCCATAACATGTTATGGGCTGCTATGAGAGAGCCGTCCCGGATCCACGGTGTTATGGCCCGAGAGGCCACACCGAACTGCTCGCCGCTGGAATTTTCGCTTCGCGCGCTGCCGCGCGCGAGGTTCGGCATCGATCGCCAACTATTTTCTCTTTTGCCCTCTCGGATCTCAGAGCACAGCGAGTTGTACGTGTGGTCGTCCTCCGTCGACACAGACAGCACATAGTTGAAGCCGGGAATCCTCTTGAAGTCGGAGACGCGCAGGTCAACTGACGAGGGCTTCTGGCTCATGAACATCTTCATCCGGTAGGCCATGGTTGACTGGTAGTAGCTACGCGGCGCGGGGCGGGCGCTCCATTTTAAGGTTACGGATTCGCGCGGCGGGGCTCCGTAAGAAACAAATCCGTGGGGGAAACAGGGGTCAAATTCGGTTTTGGCCGAGTCATAGCAGCTGTTATGAGGTTGTTTGCTGTGGCCGTCATAACAACCAGTGGGAGGTGTTATGAGTGCTATCTATGAGGTGTTATCAGGTGTTATGAGGTGTTATGAGGTGTTATGAGGTGTTATTAGGTGTTATGAGGTGTTATGGTAGGGTGGGCATAACAGCCATAACAGCGATGGAGGTGTTATGAGGTGTTATGAGGTGTTATGGGGTGTTATGAGCTGCCAGCCATAACAGCCATAACACCTGTTATGGCCGCTCTCATAACCTTGATTGGGGTCAATGCGAGGCGTGAGAACCGCGCCATTCGCTCTCACCTGGCAACCCTGTCGGCACGTCTCGCGCGCGCGTGAACAGGGCACCTCAACACCACGCCCGCCGCATCTCTCCATCTGCGACAGCGTCTCGATCGAGTGCCTCAAGCGTCTTCACCTACAGAGCCAGGACTTCCCCGACAGCAAGGAGTACCGTGCAAAGATCCGCGCTCAGTGCTCGAGTTCGGGATGAAGGCCTTCGGCGGCAACCCCAACGCGCCCGGCACCGAAGACGGCGCCCGAGGTGCCATCTTCGTCGTCGCCTCGACGATCCTCGTCACCTGCCGGCCGAGCGGCTCGCCGCGCTACACGACCGACCAGATGGTAGAGCGCGTCGCCACCATCGCCCACTCGCCCGACGGCTTCCTGGCCCTCTGGAAAGAACTGGCGCTCTCCGCCTCCGTCCCGCCTACCCCACTGGAGCAGGGCGACGCTGCCGACTCGCCGGGCCCCTCGCAGCCTTCCATGGAACAGATGGTCAAGAGGGCCCACTACTACGCGAACCGGGGCGAGTTCGGCAAGGCGTGGGCGGCCTTCTCGCCCTCCGCGCCCGCCGACGGCCGCGACCCCAAGGTTGTCGCCAACTACCTCGGCAAGACGCCGCAAAAGCGCGGGCCCCGCCTGCCAGTGTCACCGCCGACGAACCGGGCGCCCCGCGGTATGAGCTGAAGAGGAAGTTCTTCAACAAGTTCGCAAAGTCTTTGCCCTCGCGCTCGCAAGGGCGGCCCGACCCTCAAGTCGACTACGAGCTCATCCGCATCATCACCGAGTCGACCGACGGGGCGGACTGCCTCTTCAACTTCTGCACCTCCGTTGGCTGGGGTGTCATGCACGAGCGTCTCAAGCGGCTTGAGGACGACCTCAACGCCGTCTGCCTCTGGAAGGACGATGGCGTCAGCTGCAGGCCCCTCGGGCTCTGCAGCATCTCTTCACGCGCTCAGCCGAACGGTGCATCGCGCTCCAGGAGCGCGACTGGGCGGAGCAGTTCTGCACCACGCAGCGGCCTGAGGTTGCCAAGGCCAGGGCGGAGGCACTCGAGGACGCCACCGTCACCACCGCCACCGCAGAAGCCGCGTACACTTCGAGGTGCATCACGCACGGACACGACTCTGCCGAGGCGACGGCCGCTCTCGCCGACCTCGAGGCGGCCGAGGCTGCGGAGGAGCGCGCCCGTGCGCCTGTCAACTTCCCGAAGAACTACGCGTTCTCCAAGACAACGGCACTCACCTGTACGCCCACACCGTCGCGGGGTGGCACGGCACGAAAAGCCGGAGAACGCGACCATCTCGGGCGACAAGGAGAACTTCTACAACACGATCGCCCAGGAGAATTATTGCCGCCGCCGCTTGTCTGACGTTCTCGAGGTTGTTAACCTTTGGCCGCAAGCCAGCTACGGAATTTACAACGAAACTCTCTCGCACGACACTGGGCACTGGACTGGCGAGCACTGGCACTAACACCAAGTTGTGCCACAACGCACATAAGAAAAGAGAAGAGTCGGCTAGTCGGCGCGGTGAGAACAAGATTCAAGAAGGCTCTCAATGTGACGCGGCCGCGGGCGCTCTCATGACGATTTGAATAACAGGCTATACTTTTTCGACTAGACATGTGTTTCTTCCCCGTTTCAGCCCGCCCGCCGAGGACTTTGTCCGGGCCAGGACGCCGCTGCCGGCCGCATGCCTCCAAAGAAGGACTCGGCCGCCACGAGCAATAAGTTGTTGCGCTCCGCCATCGACAAGGGTGTGGACGAGTTCCTCTGCCCAATCACGCAGGCGCTGTGGCACAGCCATCCCCGCCCGCCCCGCCCCTGGCGTCGCCCCTCCGCCCACACGCCCAAGCCTCGAACGCGGCCCTCTCCAGGAGCTTCCTGTCGACCCGGTCATGGCAGAGGATGGCCACGTGTACGAGCGTACCGCCATCGGGCAGTGGCTCCAGCGGAGCGGCAAGAGCCCCGTCACCAACCTGGAGATGGGGCAGAAGCTCCTCGACGCAAAGCAGGTGCGCAGCATGCTGGCCACGATGGTCAAGAGTGGCGCCATCAGCGGCGATAAGGCGGACAAGTGGCAGGAGCGGCTCAAGGCGGAGGATCAGGCCAGGGAGTGGCAACGGGAGGCAGAGGGCGGCGACGCGCGGGCAATGTGCAAGCTGGGCGCGTCCCACGATGGGGCTGATGACGATTCGGAGGCTGTTGGGAAGGCCAGGATGTGGTATCAGCGCTCCGCACAACACGGATACAACCGCGGGCTGACCAACTATGCCAACAAGCTGCACAATAGCGGCGAGAAGGGGCACGCGGCTTTGCACTGGATGGAGGCTGCCACGCGCGGAGACGCCTGGGCATGCATCCAGGTCGCCGGGCTATACAGCCGAGGCATCTCCGGCTACCTTGCGCAGGACAAGGAGCTCGCAAAGCGGTGGTGCCTGAAGGCACTGGCGTGCAAGTTGAAGGATGATGGGGACGGTGCTTTGCCGGACGAGGACGACGAGGCGAAGGCCAACGCGTGGCTGGACGCCAACGCTGACGTCGCGGCGCTGTGGTTTGACGCGCCGGACCGGCAGGCCGGGACGACAGGTAGAGTGGGCGCGTGATAGCCGAGGTACTTCGAAAAAGAATTGCGGAAGCAAAAAGAAAACTGGCTGCGCTCTCTCGCGCCGCAGCAAGCTGCCTCGCAGTCTTCCTGGCCTCTCTCACGCCCCTCCTATTCGCCACCATCTACTTCATGTCTGGCCTCCACCTGACCGGCTACCGCCCGCTCGTGACGCGACGCATCGGGCAGGAACGCCACGCAGAGCGGAACGCGCAAGCCTCGAGCCTCAAGCCAATCGACGACGCCTACGGGCAGTCCTCTGAGGAAATCTCGCAGCTGGCGCCGCGGCCGGAGCCGGAGCACGGCTTCTCCGCCTGGTCGGCGTACGAGGAGGACGAGGTGCTGCTCGACGACCTCGCGCGCCGGGCGGAGCCGCCGCACGCATTGCCGCCGCCGCGTCCTCTCACGGACTGTCTCTCCGCGGACCGTCTCTCCGCCTACCTAGTCACGATACGGGATGCGGGAGAGGACGGCGGCGGCAGCGGCGGCAGCGGTGGCAATGGCGGCGGCGGCAGCAGCGATAGCTACGGCGGAAATGGCGGCGGCGGCGGCGGCGGCGACGCTGCTCTGCCGCCGCAACCCTCGACCCTTGAGCACGGCGGCGAGACGTACGTGTACGACGGCTACCTGCTCCTCGCCCAGCTCGAGGGCGTCGCGCCGCCCGCCTCGCCGCCGCCGCCCGCACAGTTCGCCTTCGGCGTCGCGCTGCACGCCGCCTCGTTTGCGGCTGTGCGCGTGCCTCCGGCGCTGCAGCGGCCGGGTGAGACTCCGCTGAGAGCCGAGATGGCGAGAGCTGAGTGGAGCCGAGGGCCCGTTGAGAGCCGAGATGGCGAGAGCTGAGCGGAGCCGAGGCGTTGCGACGGGGCCGCATCTCTTCCGCGCCCCCTCACCGCCACCCTCACCGCCACCCTCACCGCCACCCTCACCGCCGCCCTCACCGCCACCCTCACCGCCGCCCTCACCGCCACCCTCACCGCCGCCCTCACCGCCGCCCTCATCGCCGCCCTCACCGCCGCCGTCGCCACCCTCACCAGGCGAGCTCGCGGCGCTGGCGAGGCTGCAGAGACTTCTCCTGCATGAGTGGCTTTCCCTGCCTCCGCCGCCCGCCGCGCCGTTCTGCGCGTTGATGCCGCGCTACCGCCGCGGAACC